AGAGACCTCTAGGACCAGTACAATAGCACCATCAGAGACCTCTAGGACCAGCACAAGAGCACCATCAGAGACCTCTAGGACCAGCACAATAGCACCATCAGAGACCTCTAGGACCAGTACAAGAGCATCATCAGATGCCTCTAGGACCAGTACAATAGCACCATCAGAGGCCTCTAGGACCAGTACAATAGCACCATCAGAGACCTCTAGGACCAGTACAATAGCACCATCAGAGACCTCTAGGACCAGTACAAGAGCACCATCAGTGACCTCTAGGACCAGTACAATAGCACCATCAGAGACCTCTAGGACCAGTACAATAGCACCATCAGAGACCTCTAGGACCAGCACAAGAGCACCATCAGAGGCCTCTAGGACCAGTACAATAGCACCATAAGAGACCTCTAGGACCAGTACAATAGCACCATCAGAGACCTCTAGGACCAGTACAATAGCACCATCAGAGACCTCTAGGACCAGTACAATAGCACCATCAGAGACCTCTAGGACCAGTACAATAGCACCATCAGAGACCTCTAGGACCAGTACAAGAGTATCATCAGAGACCTCTAGGACCAGTACAATAGCACCATCAGAGACCTCTAGGACCAGTACAAGAGAACCATCAGTGACCTCTAGGACCAGTACAAGAGCACCATCAGACCCTCTAGGACCAGTACTAGAGCACCATCAGAGACCTCTAGGACCTGTACAAGAGCACCGTCAGTGACCTCTAGGACCAGTACAAGAGAAACATCAGAGACCTCTAGGACCAGTACTAGAGCACCATCAGAGACCTCTAGGACCAGTACAAGAGTACCATCAGAGGCCGCTAGGACCAGTACAATAGCACCATCAGAGACCTCTAGGACCAGTACAATAGCACCATCAGAGACCTCTAGGACCAGTACAAGAGCACCATCAGTGACCTCTAGGACCAGTACAATAGCACCATCAGAGACCTCTAGGACCAGTACAATAGCACCATCAGAGACCTCTAGGACCAGCACAAGAGCACCATCAGAGACCTCTAGGACCAGCACAATAGCACCATCAGAGACCTCTAGGACCAGTACAAGAGCATCATCAGATGCCTCTAGGACCAGTACAATAGCACCATCAGAGGCCTCTAGGACCAGTACAATAGCACCATCAGAGACCTCTAGGACCAGCACAAGAGCACCATCAGGCCTCTAGGACCAGTACAACAGCACCATCAGAGACCTCTAGGACCAGTACAATAGCACCATCAGAGACCTCTAGGACCAGTACAAGAGCATCATCAGAGACCTCTAGGACCAGTACAAGAGCACCATCAGAGACCTCTAGGACCAGTACTGGAGCACCATCAGAGACCTCTAGGACCAGTTTCTTCTTCCGGGTGAATCATCTAAACTATTGGTCCTCCTAAATGTCAGTCATATGTGAGACATATTGTATCAGGCGTTTCTATAACCGTACAGAGGCCGGATATAGAAACTGTTTTGTTTAATTGAGTTTCAATGTGAGAAAATAATGATGCAAAAACATAACAAAATAGATATCCATTTTTGTTACTTCCCTCTACTTTTGAACAGTCCTCTTAATAATTACTCAAACGTGTTACAATCTAGAGATTTTGAATAGATTTGTGCCTAAACTTCAGTCCTTCCTCTTTACAAATAACCCGGTGTGGGGAACCTGAGGCAGTGGTATGAAGGTTACGAGAGCTCGCGAGTGAAACCACAGTTGTGTGGTAAACTCTGTTGCCTAAAAAGTGCGTATGCAAATGCCACACTTTCATATCACCACATGTGACTTTAACACGCTGTGGTTTTGTTCTGGCTGAAGGACACAGAGCACCGCACCCTCTGGTTCTCACGTCACCATGCACTCTCTGGAGAACATGTGACTTTAACACAGTGGATGCAGACTGTCGGGAGGGCCGTTCATTGCCGCTTGCAACTATATTTTAATAATAATAAAAATATAAATAGCCTCACAGTCTATGGGCCTCCTCCAGTCTATGGGCCTCCTCACAATCTATGGGCCTCCTTTCAGTCTATTCGCCTCCAGTCTATGGGCCTCGTCACAATTTATGGGCCTCCTCACAGTCTATGGACCTCCTCACAGTCTATGGGCCTCCTTTCAGTCTATTCGCCTCCAGTCTATGGGCCTCGTCACAATTTATGGGCCTCCTCACAGTCTATGGTGATCAAGTCTCTGTCTGTGGATATAAAAGAGACTCTTCCGACATTTGTATTTAAAGACTCTGTCCCAGTTTATGACAGAACTGAAATCTTAAATTGCTTTAACCAGCATTTTTTGTCATCTGGTTCTCTAACTGACGTTAACAAACAAAAAATAGGGGATCCTTTTGCAGATTGTCCCATGTTTTCTGGAGATTGTTTTAACTTTGATCCTTTCACTTGTCACGAAGTGCACAAAGCTCTAAAAACCTTAGACCACAGAAAGCCCCCTGGACCTGATTTGATTGAGCCTTACTTCTTAAAGCTAGCAGCTGATTTTATAGCAGAGCCACTATTAACTCTTTTTAATCTTTCGATTACAAATAACTAGGGCTGTCAAACGATAATTTTTTTTAATCGAGTTAATTACAGCTTAAAAATTAATTAATTGTAATTAATCACATTTCAAACTATTGGCAAAATTATGCCATATTTTTCTGTAAATGGTTGTTTGAATGGAAAGATAAATGACAGCTTAGTGAACATATGTACTGTATTTGTTTGTTATAACAATAAATCCATATAAAATGGCATTAACATCATTAACATTCTGTCTTTCTGTTTAGACTCAGACCAAAACCATTGTTTGTTACAGATGAGGGACATTTCAAAATAGTCTGAAGCAGAATGTCATTAAATCTGTTTGATTTGCTCACACCATTACTTTTTTTGGCACAACCAACATGAACTGATAGTCGAAAGAAAAATTAGGTACCTCAGCTTTAATTTAGCGAGTGCGCTTCGGGAGAAGACACGGAGGAGACTGAGGCTCCGCAGTCCAGCTTCAGCGCTGTACATATTGTGTGCATCGGTTACGCAAAGAGACGTACGCACACTAGAGAATAGTTCTGTAATAGTTCTGTGCGTGGTCTTGGATATGATCCCATTACGCAGCGCCGTTCGCCGTCATTACAGCCGCTGGAAGTGGGACCTGTCCAGAGCGCTGTGGCGCCCGCAGCTCATCATGCAGAGTTCATACAGGAAACTACATATGCTCCGCGGCCACGCGTGTATTCTTTCAAAACTTTAATTCCCAGAGGGTCTACCTGCTCTGTCCCCATCTTACACACGCATGTGTCCGCGGCATTCTGAGTGTTATTATGGGATGCATGGGCATGCGTCAAATGCGTTAATTTTTTTAACGCGATTAATGAAAAAAATTAATTAACGTGCGTTAACACAATAATTTTGACAGCCCTACAAATAACATAATTCCATCTGTCTGGAAATCTGCTTTTGTCCTTCCTTTATTCAAGGGTGGCGATCCAGCAGTTCTTACCAATTATAGGCCAATTTCAAATGTATGTGTTTTATCCAAGATTCTAGAGACTCTTATTTGTGACCAGATGAAAAAGTTTCTCTACTCAAATGAAATCATTTCTCAATACCAATCAGGTTTCAGAAAAAGGCACAGCACTATCACAGCAGCAATGAAGTTGGTGAATGACATCATTGTAGCACTTGACAAAAAGCAGTTCTGTGCTTCTCTTTTTATTGATCTCTCAAAAGCTTTTGACGCTGTAGACCATGCTATTTTAATACGCAGGCTACTTCTTATTGGATTGTCGAAGAATGCAGTTGCTTGGTTTGCAAATTATTTACAAAAAAGGACCCAGTGTATAAAACATGAGGACCTTTGCTCTGAATTTGTTACTGTCCTCAAGGGGGTGCCACAGGGATCTGTTTTGGGGCCCCTTTTATTTATCTTGTACATCAACAATGTTGAACAAGATGTTCTTGATGCAAACATACATTTTTATGCTGATGATACTATTATTTATTGCGTTGGATCATCACTTGAGCAGGCTGTTAATTCTCTGCAGAAAGCCTTTGTTTCTGTTCAGAATTCTTTTTTTAATCTAAAACTACGTCTCAATGCTGACAAGACAAAGCTAATGCTTTTTTCAAAACATAAGAAGCTACCTCCAGCTCCCCCAGTGGTGTCCACTCTTGAGGGGAATGTCATTGAAGTGGTGCATGAATACAAATACCTAGGAGTTATAATTGATGACGCCCTCACTTTTAAACCTTTTTTTGATGCACTTGTGAAGAAATTAAAAATTAAGCTGGGTTTTTTCTTTCGAAATAAGACATGTTTTTCTTTTGGGGTTAAAAGGCGCCTTGTCTCTGCCACTTTTTTTCCGTCTTAGATTATGGTGACCATTTTTATATGAATGCTACCTCTTCGTGTCTTGAAAAGCTGGACTCAATATATCATGCCTCCCTGAGGTTCATCACAAACTGTAGAGCTCTGACACATCACTGTGAGCTGTACTCTCCCTGTCCACTAGGAGGCAGTGTCATTGGTACACCTTTATTTACAAGGCTCTTCTGGGACTCCTGACCTCTGACCTCTGTACATTACTCACACAGAGGAGCACACAGTCTTATGAGGTCCAATGAGCAGCTGTTGCTCACTGTGCCTTTTGTCCGCACAGAGTTTGGAAAAAGAGCTTTTGTCCATGCAGCGCCTTCTGCTTGGAACATGCTCCAGCGAGACTGGAAGCTGACTGAGCTTTTGTCTTTGAATGCTTTTAAATCAAAACTCAGAGTTTTCGAGACTGCCTCAAACACCTGTAAATGTTTTACTTGATGTGTTTAGTCTGTATATCTGTCATTTTTTATGTAATTGTATCTATCTGTTGTGTTTATGTGTAACTTTGCTGCCTCTTGGCCAGGACTCCCTTGAAAAAGAGATTTTTAATCTCAATGGGATTTTTCCTGGTTAAATAAAGGTTAAATACAAAAAAAAAATGGGCCTCCTCACAGTCTATGGGCCTCCTCACAGTCTATGGACCTCCTCACAGTCTGTGGGCCTCCTCACAGTCTATGGGCCTCATCACACTCTATGGGCCTCCTCACACTCTATGGGCCTCCTCGCTGTCTATGGGCCTCCTCACACTCTATGGGCCTCCTCACACTCTATGGGCCTCCTCGCTGTCTATGGGCCTCCTCACACTCTATGGGCCTCCTCACTGTCTATGGGCCTCCTCACACTCTATGGGCCTCCTCACAGTCTATTATCCTCCTCACAGTCCATGGACCTCTCGCAGTCATTTGTGGACCTCCTCACAGTCTATGGGCCTCCTCACAGTCCATGGACCTCCTCACAGTCTATGGGCCTCCTCTCAGTCCATGGGCCTCCTCTCAGTCTATGGACCTCCTCACAATCTATGGACCTCCTCACTGTCAATGGGCCTCCTCACTGTCTTTGGGCCTCCTCACTGTCTATGGGCCTCCTCACACTCTATGAGCCTCCTCACTGTCTATGGGCCTCCTCACACTCTATGGGCCTCCTCACTGTCTATGAGCCTCCTCACACTCTATGAGCCTCCTCACTGTCTATGGGCCTCCTCACACTCTATGGGCCTCCTCACTGTCTATGGGCCTCCTCACACTCTATGGGCCTCCTCACTGTCTATGGGCCTCCTCACACTCTATGGGCCTCCTCACAGTCTATTGTCCTCCTCACAGTCCATGGACCTCCTCAGAGTCCAATAACCTCTCAAAGTCATTTGTGGACCTCCTCACAGTCTATGGGCCTCCTCAGAGTCCATGGACCTCCTCACTGTCTATGGGCCTCCTCTCAGTCCATGGGCCACCACACAATCTATGGACCTCCTCACTGTCTATGGGCCTCCTCACTGGTCTTTGGGCCTCCTCACTGTCTATGGGCCTCCTCACACTCTATGGGCCTCCTCACTGTCTATGGGCCTCCTCACACTTTATGAGCCTCCTCACAGTCTATGAGCCTCCTCACTGTCTATGGGCCTCCTCACACTCTATGGGCCTCCTCACTGTCTATGGGCCTCCTCACACTCCATGGGCCTCCTCACAGTCTATTGTCCTCCTCACAGCCCATGGACGTCCTCACAGTCCATGGACCTCTCACAGTCATTTGTGGACCTCCTCATAGTCTATGGGCCTCCTCACAGTCCATGGACCTCCTCACAGTCTATGGACCTCCTCTCAGTCTATGGGCCTCCTCACACTCCATGGGCCTCCTCACAGTCTATTGTCCTCCTCACAGCCCATGGACCTCCTCACAGTCCATGGACCTCTCACAGTCATTTGTGGACCTCCTCATAGTCTATGGGCCTCCTCACAGTCCATGGACCTCCTCACAGTCTATGGACCTCCTCTCAGTCTATGGGCCTCCTCACAGCCTATGGGCCTCCACACAGTCTATGGACCTCCAGTCTATGAGCCTCCTCACGGTCTATAGGCCTCCTCACAGTCTATGGACCTCCTCACAGTCTATGGACCTCCTCTCAGTCTATGGGCCTCCTCACAGCCTATGGGCCTCCTCACAGTCTATGGACCTCCTCTCCACACGCTGTGATGTCACGGTGGAAAAGCAGAACATGTTTGTGGTTCGAAACCGGGGGATTTCTCTTGTGGTGAAAAGAGCCCGGGCTCACTCTGCTACAAACACATGATTATATTAGATCCACAGAGAAAGGACTTGGGCACGGCTCAAACGGGTTTAAAATAAAATGTTATTATATAATACGTTTATAATATGATAAACACATTATATTATGACTGCGATGATGTCACACATGACTCAATGTTGTGGAGGTTGAACTAATAGTTGTGAGAACTTTCATTCTGATGAAGAAAAGCACCAAAGCAACTGGGAAAAACTGCATCTATATAACTGTAAAGGAGTGAATTACCGACGCAGGAGAGTCTGAGGACAGTGTGATCCAGGACACTCCACATTAAGGACATTTATGGACATGAATTGAACTTAATTCCGGGAAACATGATCAAAGCATCACGTCCACAGTGCGTTAAAACATCCTGTCATTACATCATGTTGTGCCACAGTCAGAACAGTCGTCTACAGTTTAGTTGTTTTTCTCCATCAGCAGCTTCAGTGCTACATTTACTCTTGAATGTTCTGGAAACAGCAGCGAGTCCGAAGTGTCACAAACAGTTGTTGTTTTGTGTATTAAGATTGTTTCAGTTCTCAGTCTTTTTGACATGCAAAAGCATCTGAATAAAACTGAATATATAATAAAAGCAGTTTGTCCAAAACACTGCAGCTCAAGTCCTGATCACATTAGTCCAGTCCTCAGGTCTCTGCACTGACTCCTGTGGCTCAGAGATCAGACTTTAAAACAGCTCTGCTTGTTACAAGTCTCTCCATGGCCTCGCACCAAAGTACATCTGTGAGCACAGGGACTGGCCTCCTGCTGGGACTCTGTGGAGCACAGGGACTCGCCTCCTGCTGGGACTCTGAGGAGCACAGGGACTGGCCTCCTGCTGGGACTCTGAAGAGCACAGGGACTGGCCTCCTGCTGGGACTCTGAGGAGCACAGGGACTGGCCTCCTGCTAGGACTCTGAGGAGCACAGGGACTGGCCTCCTGCTGGGACTCTGAGGAGCAGAGGGACTGGCTTCCTGCTGGGACTCTGAGGAGCACAGGGACTGGCATGCTGGGAGTCTGAGGAGCACAGGGACTGGCCTCCTGCTGGGACTCTGAGGAGCACAGGGACTGGCCTCCTGCTGATGCCCAGAGTCAGGACTAAACATGAGGAGGCAGTATTTCAGATTTCTGCAGCTAAAATCTGGAACCGTCCTGAAAAAATGACAGTCGTTTACTCTGACTGTGTTCAAATCTAGGTTAAAAACAGTTTATCTGTGTAGACAACTGAGGAATTTTGCTTTTTACTTATTTTTACAGTGAATATTTATGTTTTTAAGGGCCTTGTGATATTTTAATGTACCTACAAATAAAGGTTGATGGATTTAGCCTCTCCTCTCATCTCCAGGTCGAATGACGCGGCTGAGCTCCTGCACGAAGATCTCATTCAGGTCAGTGGGAAAAACAGTACTTTACTCAGAGGTGGCCCCAGCTGCAGCAGTACTGGCTCTAACGGTGTGGTGTGGTGTGGTGTGGTACGGTGTGGTGTGGTCTGCTGTGGTGTTGTACTTTGTGGTGTTGTACGGTGTGGTGTGGTACGGTGTTGTACGGTGTGGTGTGGTCTGGTGTGGTCTGGTGTGGTGTGGTCTGGTGTGGTCTGGTGTGGTGTGGTCTGGTGTGGTGTGGTCTGGTGTGGTCTGGTGTGGTTGGTGTGGTGTGGTGTGGTGTGGTGTGGTGTGGTGTGTGTACGGTGTGGTGTGGTGTGGTGTGGTGTGGTGTGGTCTGGTGTGGTGTGGTACGGTGTGGTCTGGTGTGGTCTGGTGTGGTGTGGTCTGGTGTGGTGTGGTGTGGTGTGGTGTGGTGTGGTGTGGTGTGGTGTGGTGTGGTGTGGTGTGGTGTGGTGTGGTGTGGTGTGGTGTGGTGTGGTGTGGTCTGGTGTGGTGTGGTGTGGTGTGGTCTGGTGTGGTGTGGTGTGGTGTGGTCTGGTGTGGTCTGGTGTGGTGTGGTGTGGTCTGGTGTGGTGTGGTGTGGTGTGGTACGGTGTGGTCTGGTGTGGTGTGGTGTGGTGTGGTACGGTGTGGTGTGGTGTGGTGTGGTACGGTGTGGTGTGGTGCGGTGTGGTCTGGTCTTGTGTGGGTCGGCTGCAGGTGGACCAGCGTGTGGAACCAGCAAAGAAGGCGGCTCACCTCCTGCACAAGAAACTTCTGAGCTGCATGCAGAGCCAGAGTGGCGTGGAGGCCGAGAAACGCATGGTAACAACACATTAGTAACAACATGTTAGTAACATTACGTTAGTAAAAACAAGTTAGTAACAACAATTTAGTAACATCATGTTAGTAACAACACGTTAGTAACATCACGTTAGTAGCAACACGTTAGTAACAACACGCTAGTAACAACACGTTAGTAACAACAAGTTAGTAACAACACGTTAGTAACATCACGTTAGTAACAACACGTTAGTAACATCACGTTAGTAGCAACACGTTAGTAACAACACGCTAGTAACAACACGTTAGTAACAACAAGTTAGTAACAACACGTTAGTAACAACACGTTAGTAACAACACGTTAGTAACAACAAGTTAGTAACATCATGTTAGTAACAACACGTTAGTAACAACACGTTAGTAACAACACGTTAGTAACAACACGTTAGTAACAACACGTTAGTAACATCACGTTAGTAACATCACGTTAGTAACAACACGTTAGTAACAACACGTTAGTAGCAACACGTTAGTAACATCACGTTAGTAACAACACGTTAGTAACATCACGTTAGTAGCAACACGTTAGTAACAACACGTTAGTAACAACACGTTAGTAACAACACGTTAGTAACAACACGTTAGTAACAGCAAGTTAGTAACAACACGTTAGTAACAACACGTTAGTAACAACACGTTAGTAACAGCAAGTTAGTAACAACACGTTAGTAACAACACGTTAGTAACAACACGTTAGTAACAGCAAGTTAGTAACAACACGTTAGTAACAACACGTTAGTAACAGCAAGTTAGTAACAACACGTTAGTAACAACACGTTAGTAACAACACGTTAGTAACATCACGTTAGTAACAACACGTTAGTAACAACACGTTAGTAGCAACACGTTAGTAACAACACGTTAGTAACAACACGTTAGTAACAACACGTTAGTAACAACACGTTAGTAACAGCAAGTTAGTAACAACACGTTAGTAACAACACGTTAGTAACAACAAGTTAGTAACAACACGTTAGTAACAACACGTTAGTAACAGCAAGTTAGTAACAACACGTTAGTAACAACACGTTAGTAACAACACGTTAGTAACATCACGTTAGTAACAACACGTTAGTAACAACACGTTAGTAACAACACGTTAGTAACATCACGTTAGTAACAACACGTTAGTAACATCACGTTAGTAACAACACGTTAGTAACAACACGTTAGTAACATCACGTCCAGACAAAGTACCTCTGAGTTTATGACAGACTGATGTCTGAGTTTATGACAGACTGATGTCTGAGTTTATGACAGACTGATGTCTGAGTTTATGACAGACTGATGTCTGAGTTTATGACAGAGTGATGTCTGAGTTTATGACAGACTGATGTCTGAGTTTATGACAGACTGATGTCTGAGTTTATGACAGAGTGATGTCTGAGTTTATGATAGACTGATGTCTGAGTTTATGACAGACTGATGTCTGAGTTTATGACAGAGTGATGTCTGAGTTTATGACAGACTGATGTCTGAGTTTATGACAGACTGATGTCTGAGTTTATGACAGACTGATGTCTGAGTTTATGACAGACTGATGTCTGAGTTTATGACAAACTGATGTCTGAGTTTATGACAGACTGATGTCTGAGTTTATGACAGACTGATGTCTGAGTTTATGACAGACTGATGTCTGAGTTTATGACAGACTGATGTCTGAGTTTATGACAGAGTGATGTCTGAGTTTATGACAGACTGATGTCTGAGTTTATGACAGACTGATGTCTGAGTTTATGACAGACTGATGTCTGAGTTTATGACAGACTGATGTCTGAGTTTATGACAGACTGATGTCTGAGTTTATGACAGACTGATGTCTGAGTTTATGACAGACTGATGTCTGAGTTTATGACAGACTGATGTCTGAGTTTATGACAGACTGATGTCTGAGTTTATGACAGACTGATGTCTGAGTTTATGACAGACTGATGTCTGAGTTTATGACAGACTGATGTCTGAGTTTATGACAGACTGATGTCTGAGTTTATGACAGACTGATGTCTGAGTTTATGACAGACTGATGTCTGAGTTTATGACAGACTGATGTCTGAGTTTATGACAGACTGATGTCTGAGTTTATGACAGACTGATGTCTGAGTTTATGACAGACTGATGTCTGAGTTTATGACAGACTGATGTCTGAGTTTATGACAGACTGATGTCTGAGTTTATGACAGACTGATGTCTCTCTCTCGGTGCAGAAGAAGCTTCCTCTGATGCAGCTGTCGGTGGGAATGGCCGAGTGTCTCAAGGACTTCGACGCAGACTCCTCCATCAGGTCAGAGACAGATGGACAGACACATGAAACGTTTAAGGCCTGATTTAAAAGCAACTGAAAAAGCAAATTGATATAGAAGAATTCCATAGATGACGGTCAGAGGGTAGTGTAGGTTTCCTCCGTGTGCTCTGGGTTTCCCATCAGTAAAAACGTGTACAGTAGGTCTGCCATGTGCCTCCTGTATGGCGACCTCGCTCCCATCTCTGTGTGGAGTGAGAGACAAACGGCCACAACAATTGGGCTTTGGTCTGTGAAAGGCGCTATATGAATAAAGATTACTTACTTACTTACATAAAGATGTGAATTTGCACCTTAGATGTTTGCTCCTGAGTTTTAAGACACAAAGAGATCAGAGAGAGACCAGAGAGAGACCAGAGAGAGAGATGCATGAAGCCCATTCATTTAACAAGTGCATTCAAAAGTCTACAGCGGCTAAACTAGACTGGTCAAAAAAATATTTACTCCCCTCAGCATTGACATTGAAACACATCTGGAACGTAGCATCCTGTAAAGAGGTTTTTGAATGGAAAAAAATGCGGCATTAGAATGCACTGGATAATTCTGTTTCCGGGTACCCCCCCACGGGCAAGGAGTCGGATTACAAGCATGTTAGCGCACGTGGTCATGGGCCCTTTTGAGCCGGGACCCGCCCACACTGGTCTAAATATACACAGTTTAAACTAGGTAAGAGTAATCAAAAATTCCACACCATGACAGGGGTAGGGTACACTGATTGGCTGTTAATTAGTGAGAGCTAATCTAAAGTGTTAGCATTGTTGATGGTGGTCATTGTGTGTTTTGTCCTGGACTGTGGCAGGCGGGTGCTGGAGATGTGCTGCTTCCTGGAAAAGAGACTGGCCTACACTCTGGCTAAGTTTGAGGTGAAAGTGGAGAAGGACGTCCTGGAGCCGCTCAACAAACTCGGCGAGGTGAGACTCAGAACAGCATCAGGTCCCAGGTCTGACCACACCCCCACGGACCCCCAGCAGAGGCACAAAAGTAGAGGGTAGAAGTTCAGATATAAATTGCTGAAAATTCTTGTAAATGGTAAATATGTCAAAGTCATTCCTTCCGTTGAGCAAAAGTAAAAGTACTTGTGGTAAATAACATAAACAAAAATGGGCTTTGACAATATATTAAACCATTGGCAAAGTATCTGGTACTTGTGGCCATACTTGGATACAATAACCATATTCCGTCAAACCTTTGAAGCTGTGCAGGGCAGGGCCAGCTTAGTACCTTGATGGGAGACCTCTGGGAACACTAGCTGCCACAGAGGGGCATTGCCTGGACTGAGTTTGGTGTGTGTGTGAATATCTGGTAGTGGTCGGAGGCTGCCTCGCTTCTGTTAGTGCGTCCCAGGGCAGTTGTGGCTACAATAGTAGTTTACCATCGTTTATGGAGGGAAAGATTAATGACATTAACGACCTGAAAAGCGCTACATAAAACCAATGCTTTACTATGGCTAACCACAATGAAGTAATTAACTGAGAAACTTGGTACAGTAAACTACCATGAATTAACTCCCTTCAATTTAAGTCAATTCAATAAATGTGTATATTGAATTGTGTATCTCGGAGAACTTTACAAAGCTGTCGATTTGCAGACACACATCAGAGAATCAACGGTTCAAACACAGGAAATGTAACGATAAAAAACACGTTGGTCCATAAAGGGCAGATGACCAAAGTCCTTAAATGTGAATAATCATTTAGAAGCGCGATACACCTTCTCCTATCCATGTCCTGTCGTTGTCTGAAAACTCATTGTATGCAGCAGAAAGTACTGATAATTGGGTTTCAGGTATAAAACATTTCAAAATTATAAGTAGTGGAAATATGAGCAGGACACGTCGCTAACATGAAGTCCAGAGGCATTAGAAAAGAGAGAGGGCAGTACTGGAGCAACTAAATCAATAACAACATGTGTGCTCAAGTAAAGTACAGATACCAGCCAAAAATACTGCAGTACAGTAAGCTACTTAAGTAAGGAAGATTTAGAAATTTAGAAATTTAGAAAAAAAACCGCACTCTCCACTTTTTGAACAAACTCTGGTCTGTTTGATGAGCACGTATCACCAGAACGATTGACAATTAGAAGGAACAATAGTCTTAATGATCCACCCGGAAGTAGAAAATCCTCCTATAACAGACAATACAATGGAGAAGCGTTTATTGAAGCTGATCTAATTGGATTCTGCCGCAGGAGGACTTACCTGACATCCTCAAGAACAGGCAACATTTTGTGAAGCTGACAAGAGACTGGAACAACGCACGGATCAGGTCAGAACATCCCCCTTCAGACCTCTGCTGACTGTAGGGGACTTTCATGGTTTTGTTTTTCAATGTCCAAAGGAGCCAGACCAGCACCGGGGCCCAGGCCAAGCAGGAGGGGCTGAGGGAGGAGCTAGAGGAGGCCTGGAGGAGGCTGGAGAACATCAAGGTGAGATGGTGCTCAGGAGAGAGAGCAGAGAGAGACCAGAGAGAGAGACCAGAGAGAGAGACCAGAGAGAGAGACCAGAGAGAGAGACCAGAGAGAGAGAGCAGAGAGAGAGAGACCAGAGAGAGAGAGCAGAGAGAGAGAGACCAGAGAGAGAGAGCAGAGAGAGAGAGCAGAGAGAGAGAGCAGAGAGAGAGAGACCAGAGAGAGAGACCAGAGAGAGAGACCAGAGAGAGACCAGAGAAAGAGACCAGAGAAAGAGACCAGAGAGAGAGAGAGAGACGAGAGAGAGACCAGAGAGAGAGCAGAGAGAGAGACCAGAGAGAGAGAGCAGAGAGAGAGAGACCAGAGAGAGAGAGCAGAGAGAGAGAGCAGAGAGAGAGAGCAGAGAGAGAGAGACCAGAGAGAGAGACCAGAGAGAGAGACCAGAGAGAGACCAGAGAAAGAGACCAGAGAGAGAGAGAGAGACCAGAGAGAGACCAGAGAGAGAGACCAGAGAGAGACACCAGAGAGAGACACACCAGAGAGAGACACACCAGAGAGAGAGACCAGAGAGAGACCAGAGAGAGACCAGAGAGACCAGAGAGAGACGAGAGAGAGAGCAGTGAGAGAGCAGAGAGAGAGACCAGAGAGACCAGAGACAGACCAGAGAGAGACCAGAGAGACCAGAGGACTGTTCTTGAGGTTCTTTACGAATCCAGACTTTTAAATCGAGCTCTCTGAATAAGACTCTTCTGGCCCCTGGGAAAGCCATGTTCCAGCTTCTTCCCTCTGACAGAAGGAGATGCAGGACATCTGGATGTGCGAAAAACTTCTTTCCACAAGCTGTTATCAGAACAAAGCACTTGTGTTGAAGCCGTTTTTGTTAAAGATGTTTTAGTTTTATTGATGTACTTTTCTGGTGCACACTGGGGACTTTTGCGCATGTATTCCAATGTGGTTTTACTGCAATCTGAATCTGTCTGACACTCTCTCCTGTGGTGTTTCAGGACCAGTACTCTGCAGATCTCTATCATTTCGCCTCGAAAGAAGACGACTACGCAAACCACTTCATCAGAGTGAGTCCACACGCTGGAAATGAAAAGAGAAATTTATTTTATTTGCTATTTGTCGCGAGGTCTTTGCTGGTGTAGATCTTGTGGTCGGGTTAATACCAGAGAGCACCCACTGCGACTTGCATTGTAGACGGGTCAAATGCAGAAGAGAAAATAAAGTATATGTGCTGTAACTTTATATAAGTGAGATGTTTGTTTTGACCCCATTATTTTGACACCTTCCTGTCTGCCCTGGGATGAAAAGCTGACACAGGTCTAAACAACGCGCCACTGTTGCCCCCGGTCAGAAACACAAGTCTGCAGTGGGTAAAAGCCTGTATATAAATGGTGTATCAATTATTACTTACTGTTGATTTGATACAGATCTCAGAATGGATATAAAGATCTTATGGTTCAACAATTCAAAATAAAAACTCTATTAGAAAAATATAGTAAATGAAGTGTAAGCTTAAAGGTTTTAGGAGGATTTTCCCAAATTTTAGGAAAGAACTGCTCTCTCCACTTTTTGAACAAAACTCTCTGGTCTTATTGGACGTATCACCAGAATGATTGACAACTGAGAGGACCAATAGTAGATGATCCACCCGGAAGTAGAAAATCCTCCTATATAACTTTAAGATTTACCCATGAGATAGACAAACAAACAAAGACAGATTACCAACAGGACAGGGACTGGCCTCCTGCTGGGACTCTGAGGAGCACAGGAACTGGCTTCCTGCTGGTTCCCAGAGTCAGGAATAAACATGAGGAGGCTGCATTTCAGATTTATGCAGCTAAAATCTGGAACCGTCTTCCTGAAAATGTGAGACAGGCTTCTTCTCTGACAATGTTCAACTCCAGGTTAAAAACACTTCTGTTTATCTGCTACAACTGAGGGATTTTATCTACACTCTTTAATGTATTATTTTTTTATTCAAGTGACTGCCATCCAGTTTTGACGATTTCACTGATACTCAAAACCCACAGAATATTATGTTCTGAGACTATGTGAAATATGAAACCAGATTTTGAAAGACTGGATTTAATACCCCCCCTTGGACTGCCACCTTAACGTGGTGGGGGAGTTTGAGTACTCGGATAATCCTGGGAGCTATGCTGTCTGGGGCTTTATGCCCCTGGTAGGGTCTCCCATGGCAGACAGGTCTCAGGTGACGAGTCAGACGAAGGTCCAAAAACCACCATGGATTGCACTACAAAGATAACAGTGACGTCGCCCGGCATGGCGCAGCCGGGGCCCCACCCTGGAGCCAGGCCTGGGGTCGGGGCTCGCAAGCGAGCGCCTGGTCAGCCCGAAGGGATGACGTGGGCAGTCCCTCCTGTGGGCCCACCAACTGCAGGGGGTCCGTGGTGGCGAGGTGCAGCGAGGACTGGGCAGCGGTCGAAGGCGGAGACCTCGACAACCCAGTCCACATACTGGTCGTGAGTTGGATCCGCTGGCAGGGGAGGAAGCCGGTCAGACCTGGCAGGCCCAAGCGTGTAGTGAGGGTCTGCTGGGAACGGATCGCTGAGCCCCCTGTCAGACGGACTTTCAACTCACACCTCCGGGAGAGCTTCTCCCTGGTCCCGGCTGAGGAGGGAGACATTGAGTCCGAGTGGACCATATTCTCTTCCTCTAACGCCAATGCGGCGGCTCGTAGCTGTGGTTGCAAGGTCTCTGGTGCTAGTCCCGACGGCAACCCCCGAACCCGGTGGTGGACACCAGCAGTAAGGGATGCCGTCAGGCTGAAGAAGGAGTCCTATCAAGCAATAATGGTTCGTGGGACTCCTGAGGCAGCAGTTCAGTACCGGCTGGCCAAGCGTGCCGCGGCCCGGGCTGTTGCAGAGGCAAAAACCCGGGACTGGGAGGAGTTCGGAGAGTCCATTGAGCATGACTATCGGTCGGCCTCGAAGAGATTCTGGCAAACCTCAGGAGGGGGAAGCAGTGCTTTGCCAACACCGTGTATGGTGCGGGTGGAGGGCTGCTGACTTCAACTGGGGATATTGTTGAGCGGTGGGATCACACTCCTCAGCCTCCCCGGTAAGGTGTACTCCAAGGTACTGGAGAGGAGACTACCGCCTACGGCTGATGGTCGAATCTTGGATTCAGGAGGAGCAGTGTGGTTTTCTTCCCGGTCGCGGAACACTGGACCAGCTCTATACTCTCCATGGGATACTCGAGGGTTCATGGGAGTTCGCCCAACCTGTCCACATGTGTTTTGTGGATTTGGAGAAGGCGTTCGACCGTGTTCCCCGGGGTGTCCTTTGGGGGGTTCTACAGGAGTACGGGGTCCGGGGTTTTCTGCTGAGGGCTGTTCGGTCCCTGTATGACCAGAGCTAGAGCTGTGTTCGCATTGCCGGCAGTAAGTCAGACCTGTTCCTGGTGCATGTTGGCCTCCGCCAAGGCTGCCCTTTGTCAACGGTTCTGTTCACTGTATTTATGGACAGAATCTCTAGGCGCAGCCAGGGGCCTGAGGGGGTCCGGTTCGGGGACCACAGGATTTCATCTCTTCTTTTTGCGGACAATGTCATCCTGTTGGCTCCAACGAACCAGGACCTGCAGCATGCACTGGGACGGTTTGCAGCCGAGTGTGAAGCGGCTGGGATGAGAATCAGCACCTCCAAATCCGAGGCCATGGTGCTCGACTGGAAAAAGGTGCCTTGCCCTCTCCGGGTGGGTGGAGAGGTCCTTCCTCAAGTGGAGGAGTTCAAGTATCTCGGGGTCTTGTTCACGAGTGAGGGAAGGATGGAACGTGAGATTGACAGTTGTGGTAAAGAGGGAGCTGAGCCGAAAGGCAAAGCTCTCAATTTACCGGTCAATCTTCGTTCCCTCCCTCACCTATGGTCATGAGCTTTGGGTAATGACCGAAAGAACGAGATCGCGGATACAAGCGGTCGAAATGAGCTTCCTCCGCAGAGTGGCTGCGCTCCCTTAGAGATAGGGTGAGGAGCTCGGTCACACGGGAGGAGCTCGGAGTAGAGCCGCTGCTTCTCCACGTCGAGAGGAACCAGTTGAGGTGGCTGGGGCATCTGTTCCGGATGCCTCCTGGACGCCTCCAGTTCCGGGCATGTCCCACCGGGAGGGGGCCCCGGGGAAGACCCAGGACACGCTTGAGGGACTATGTCTCTCAGCTGGCCTGGGAACGCCTTGGGGTCACCCCGAACGAGCTGGAGGAAGTGTGTGTGGATAGGGAAGTCTGGGCGTCTCTGCTTAGACTGCTGCCCCCGCGACCCGGCAACGGATAAAGCGGAAGAAAATGGATGGATGGATTTAATACTTTCCTCAGCAAAAAAAGTTTGTTTCTATCTATTGTTGTTGTCCTGTAATCCCCGAAAAGAGGGTCAAAGGCAAATACGTCAATGGCAGTCAATGATTTTAATGTCATGTCTGACTGTTTCTATCTTGTTTTGTGCAGCACTTTGAGTTGCCTTGTGTATGAACTGTGCTATACAAATAACCTCGCCTTGCCTAGCTTAGCCTTTCTCTTTAATGTAATTAAATGTTAATCTGTTTAACCCACAGCTGCTGGAGCTTCAAGCCGAATACTACAGAAACTCATTTGAATTTCTGGACAAAAACATCCGTGAGCTGCGAGAAAACCACAGCGGTGACTCCTCTGTCTACACTTTAAACTCACGCTTGGGGATTTCTGGTCTGAATTCTGTGGTTTTTTCTTCACTTCATAGGCTCATCATCATCATCATCACCATGGCAACCGTCTGTCTCCAGCCAGAGGGTTTACGGGGAGCCCCTCCTGTCCCACCTGAGCCTCACACAGAGAGACATCGCGGCCCCCATCCAGGAGTGCGTCCACATGCTGCTGCGGACCGGGATGAGGGAGGAGGTGGCTACACTTTTGGTTTTGTTTAATAAAGTAGCAATATGTAAGATTTTTATGTCAAGTCATCATGAAATGGCCCCAAAGGTATTAATAAAACATGCTCTTTTCCAACACTTCTTTAACTGATAACAATAGTTCAGAGATATTTGAATTTATAAAATAGTTTTCCAGCCCCTAAATCTTTTTTATGTTTTCATTTTGATGTCCTGACCTTCCACCGTTTCACCAATCAGAAAGTCTGTGATCTGGGCGCCAGAACTCACTGCATCGAGCTAATCTCACTGGTAAAGTACCATGTGGCCGCAGAACTAAAAAAAGGTCTTGTTATGAATCTCAAATCATTAACAACAAAACAAGAAATAAAACCAGGATTTCTATCTTTGTGAAAAAGGTGTTGGTTTTAGATTTGTTGTTGACAAAACTCTTGTCTATTCAGCTGTTATGGTCCCAGCTGGATTCGTCTGCATATCTGGCAACCTGAGTCAGGGAGAGTGGGAGAGGCTGTAGTACCACTTTTGGACAGATTATTACATACTACTCCTTTAAGATCCCCATTAGTCTCTGAGGTGCACGGGTCTCCTCAAAATCATGACATGCTTTTACATGCATCTACATGACTTTAACTAATGCCATATGTTTCTATAAGCAGTGTCCAGAACAACAATTATCATATAAAAAACAGTGCTACAGTTTTATAAACCGCTTTGTGACTCTTGTCTGTGAAAGGCGGTATATAAATAAAGATTAGTTATTACTTACTTACTTACTGCAGATGTTAAAAACGCAGTGGTCCCCCGGCCCAATTTAATCATTAAATTAGTTGAATCTGCTTCTTTATTATGCCCCAGTAAGACATTTAACAGTTCAGAGAATTGTTGGAAAAACTGCTACGAGAAAATTACAATAATCTCAGGTTTAAATTGATTATTATATTGTATTTAATTTAATTTAATTATTTAATGTATTATTTTAATTTTATTTTTTTCATATGTTTTATAAATATTTTGGATTCTTTTTGTATGTATTTCTATTTCATTTAATTTTCTTTATTTATGTATTTTTTAAATTTATTTTTTAACTCATTCTATAACTTCATCTATTTTTATCATTTTATTATTGAAAAAACTTGGAAATAAAATAAAAATGAAAATTGATTAATTCCAAATAAAGTGGCTACATTTTTAATTTTGATCTGAAGGTTTCTCATCCGTTTTTTCTTTTTATTTTACAGTTATAGTTCACTCATCTCATTGACTCTTCTGTAATCTCTGAACCCAGGGCCTGTTCCGTCTGGCGGCTGCGGCTTCGGTCGTCAAACGCCTGAAGACCTGCCTGGACCACGGCGCCGTCGACCACTCGGAGTTCAGCATGGACCCTCATGCCGTCGCCGGTAACCACATTTATTAAAGCTGGGGTACCTAAGTTTCACACCACAACTACGACCATGTCATAATACACTTTTGTAGATTTACTTTATCTACAACAATTAATATTATTATTATTATTATTATTATTATTATTATTATTATTATTATTATTATTATAATTATTATATCAGAGATAATAATGTTCAATGAAATGGAATATACATTCATTAATGTTACTTAAATTATGTTAATATGTGGGAGTCTAAAAGTTTTTACTTCTTTCCCTCTCTCTGGTCTCTCTCTCTGGCTTCTCTCTCTGGTCTCTCTCTCTGGCTTCTCTCTCTGGTCTCTCTCTCTGGTCTCTCTCTGGTCTCTCTCTGGTCTCTCTCTGGCCTCTCTCTCTGGTCTCTCTCTGGTCTCTCTCTGGTCTCTCTCTCTGGTCTCTCTCTGGTCTCTCTCTGCTCTCTCTCTGGTCTCTCTCTAGTCTCTCACTCTGGCCTCTCTCTTTCTGGTCTCTCTCGCTCTCTGGTCTGTCTGTGGTCTCTCTCTGGCCTCTCTCTCTGGTCTCTCTCTGGTCTCTCTCTGGTCAATCAATCAAAATCAATAAAATTTTATTTATAAATCGCTTTTCATACAAAAAATGCAACACAGAGTGCTTTACAGTTTAGTTAAAAACAATCCAACATGCCCAGCCCTAAACCCTCCTCCCCACAGACCCCCCCAAAACCACATTTATAATTATATATACAACCACATGCGTATACACACACACACGCATGCGCGCACACACACACACACACACAGACACACACATACAAGTATAAAGTCACATCAGGTAAAATAGGTAAAACAATAAAAAGAAATGGGGCTGGGAGCAGATGTAACCGGCTGAAGAAGCGCCATCCAAGGAGCCATCTGCACCAGGAGCAGAGAGCCGGCTGCAGCCACAGGGAACGACACAGGACCCAGAGGAGAGAGGGGCCCCAGACCCCACCAGGCCCAGGACTCAGACCCCATAGGACCCAGAGGAGAGAAGAGGCCCCAGACCCCCACCGGATCCAAGAGCCAGACCCCCGAAGCCACAGCAGACCCCAGCTCTCAGTGCAGAGGGCTCCTCCAGAGGAAACACTGGGGACACTAAAACAATACAATAATACAATAGAAAGTAGAACAATAAAATGAGACACTAAAAAGAAAATGGCAGCTGCCTAATATTGATAATAACAATAGTAAATGGGTAGATACAAGAAATAAAAAATAAAAACTAATAAAAAAACTAATAAATAAATAAAAATGTCTAAAATGTCTAAAAACATTAATAAATGTACTAAAAAGCAATAATAAATAATAAAAACTAATCAAAAGCTACTCTAAAAAGGTGCGTCTTGAGCCTACTCTAAAAATATGAACGTTATCTGCGGCCCTCCCCCTCTCTCTCTCTCTCTGGTGTCTCTCTGATCTCTCTCTCTGGTGTCTCTCTGATCTCTCTCTCTGGTCTCTCTCTGGTCTCTCTCTGGTCTCTCTCTCTGGTCTCTCTCTCTGGCCTCTCTCTTTGGTCTCTCTCTGGTCTCTCTCTCTCTGGTCTCTCTCTCTCTGGCCTCTCTCTTTGGTCTCTCTCTGGTCTCTCTCTGGCCTCTCTCTCTGGTCTCTCTCTGGTCTCTCTCTGGTCTCTCTCTGGCCTCTCTCTGGTCTCTCTCTCTGGTCTCTCTCTCTGGTCTCTCTCTCTGGCCTCTCTCTTTGGTCTCTCCCTGGTCTCTCTCTCTCTCTGGTCTCTCTCTCTAAAAGCCGTCAAATTGACTGCTCCCGGGGTTCTAGTGCTGATTCATGCGTCACAGACCGGGCTGTTTCCTTCTTGCACTTGTTGTAATGAGACACAATTGGACTTTTACAGGAGCTTTGAAGTCCTACCTGCGGGAGCTTCCTGAACCCCTCATGACCTTTGAACTGTACGGCGGGTGGTTCAAAGCCGCGGGGTATGTGCTGCGTCTCCTTCCTGTTTTTTGTCTTCGTTTTGACGCGTCACGTCTAAGTTTAGCTGCTTTTCCTGTCGTTGCAGAGAGAAAGAACACGACGAGAAATTACAGCAGTTTCGAAAATTGCTGGAAAAACTGCCGCCAGAAAACTACAACAATCTCAGGTTCAAATGGATCGACTTTTTAAGTGTACTTTTTTGATTTATATGTTGCTATTTTATATTGATTTGACTAGTTTTATTAAGTAGTTTATTTCAATCATTGTATTTTTTATTTTATTTATTTTATTTTATTTTATTTATTTTATTTATTTTATTTATTTTATTTATTTTATTTATTTTATTTATTTTATTTATTTTATTTATTTTATTTATTTATTTATTTTTTATTTGTTTTTATTTTTTTATTTCATTTTTTTATCTATTTTATTTGTTTTATTTACTTTATGTAATTTTTTTAAATTTTAATTTTATTTATTTATTTATTTTTGTTTATGTATTAATTAATATTATTTTACTAACTATTATTTTATATATTTTATGCATTTAAATTTTTCCAAAATTTAATTAAACCTAAAACGCACACAGGTCTGAGGCGGAAATAATAGAAAACAGACAGAGAATTGTCCTGAAACATTGATAATAATGTATTGATTATTTCTACCTGAAGTGGCTGTGATTGTTGATTACCTTCTGCAGGTTCCTGGTCCAGTTTCTGTCTCTTCTGTCGGAGCAGCAGGCGGTGAACAAAATGACCCCCAGTAACATCGCCATCGTCCTGGGGCCCAACCTCTTATGGCCCCTCGCTGAAGGGTACGTCCTCTGCTCCTTTTGTCCAGATGCTCTTCAAAGACTAAATATAAACATGATTATGAAAGATTCTTCTATGGGTATAACACTGCGCAACAAAATGCCATAAGAGAGTTAAAATTATGCGAGAACATTTTAACGGTCTTAAAACAAGATTTGCCGATAAAATATTGAATACATTTACTGCATCTGTGCTGGAAATAAGACTGAAGCTTATATGACTTGGATCGTACCCGCGCTCTGATTGGCTGATTTGCGGTCTGATATTTTCCAATCTCGGACCGTTACCATGACAATCAGTCCGCAGCGCGTATCAGATTTGACCTTTCCTCTGTAAAAAAGACATAATGAGAGACGACTGGGAGCATTCTCCAGTGAATTCTATTATCTGGACGAGTTCGAAAGAGCCAGAAGAAGTAATAACAGCCAATAACGACGAAAACACAACTCCTAACAGTCAAGAAGAGATTGACAACTTCGTTACAGACCAGAAAGCTAAAAACACAATCAGGAAAACCAAGTCGGACATGAACATACTTCACAAATATCTAAAAATCATTGGTAAAGACACAGAAGAGACTGAGAACTTACAGCGGGCGCCTCAATCATCGATAAGTTCTCCATGTCACCGTTTGACAGTTTGGTTTCATGTGTTTTTAGTTGAATCAGATCGATATTTGCACAAATTAAAAATAGTCATATAATAAAACATTTACTAACCTCACTTGCTACCTCGTGCTCGATAAAGTGACAAAAGTATGATTGTGTGCTGTAAACTCTGTGGGACCAACACGGTGCAAGAACCCGGACTTTTAACCTCAGAAAAGCTCAGAGACGTAAACATAGACTTTGGTGTTTGTTGTAGAAGATGCTGCGGCTACTATGGAGGTGCCGTCTTTCAGAAACCTTTTACGTAAAATACAGATTGGTTTGGATAAAACAAGGAGAGAAAAAACAAGTGCTGCCGTGGTCATTCACTTTCATCTTCATGTTCTTCCATTTGAGCCAGTTTTCAACAATCTACTTGTAGTTGACCTTTATTAAAATGAAGCAAACGATGGATTGATGAATCTGTTCTGTTTTTGTGACACAAATGAATCCAAAAGTAATAACTTATAGTTCATTTCTTGCAGGAGTAACTAAGTAACTCCACTAATTACTGAGTTATAAGTGACAAATGACATGTTTAAAGTGTCTTAGCTGGTAGTGATTGTGTGTGTGGTGCAGCGAGGCGGCTCTCTTCGACATGGCTGCAGCCTCCTCTGTCCAAGTGGTGACTGTGATCGAGCCGCTCATCCAGAACTGCTCCCTGCTCTTTCCAGAAGGTAACTTTACTCTAACTACAAACAACAGAAGTACATCTATAAACAACACAACACCGAGAATGATAAAAGGTTTGATTCTTTATAATATACAGCGTTTTCAGTAGTCTAGTATATTTACTGTATATGGATCTAAATGGCTAAATTATTATAAAATATTCTCTACAGCATCTGCCACATCCTTGGTCCGTCACAGATTAAGAAAGAGAAAGCATCTACAAAAAACACATGTGAAAGTGTGTGGGCGTGCACAGGTGGGCGTGCACAGGGGGGCGTGCACAGGGGGGCGTGCACAAGTGAGAGTGCACAGGTGGGAGTGCACAGGTGGGCGTGCACAGGTGGACGTGCACAGGGGGGCGTGCACAGGTGGGCGTGCACAGGTGGGCGTGCACAGGTGGGCGTGCACAGGTGGGCGTGCACAGGGGGCGTGCACAGGGGGGCGTGCACAGGTGGGCGTGCACAGGTGGGCGTGCACAGGGGGGCGTGCACAGGGGGGGGCACAGGGGCGTGCACAGGTGGGCGTGCACAGGTGGGCGTGCACAGGTGGGCGTGCACAGGTGGCGTGCACAGGGGGCGTGCACAGGTGGGCGTGCACAGGTGGGCGTGCACAGGTGGCGTGCACAGGTGGGCGTGCACAGGGGGCGTGCACAGGGGGGCGTGCACAGGTGGGCGTGCACAGGTGGGCGTGACGTGCACAGGGGGCGTGCACAGGGGGGCGTGCACAGGGGGCGTGCACAGGTGGGCGTGCACAGGTGGGCGTGCACAGGTGGGCGTGCACAGGTGGGGGGGCGTGCACAGGTGGGCGTGCACAGGTGGGCGTGCACAGGGGGGCGTGCACAGGGGGGCGTGCACAGGTGGGCGTGCACAGGTGGGCGTGCACAGGGGGGCGTGAACGGGGGTCGTTTGTAGAACGGCGACTTGAATGCTGAACATAAATCACTCAAACTACGACTCATTCAAGCTCTCAACTTCTGGTTCTGCATACATGTTTGTACTGCAACAACTTTATATGTTGTTTTTATTTAGTTATTTATTCGACAGGGACATTGAAAGTCAACACAGAACAAAACAAACTTGTAACTGATGCGGGTTTACAGCTATTGCTAATTTTCAACTCCAGTCCCTGGTTGGGCCTTAACAGTTTCAATATTATCTTAAAAACGTTCCTAAATACACTGTTTAAAGCTGGACTACCTCACTTCATTCTTGTATTCGTTAATCCATATCCAATAAACAATAATGTGAAATAAACGTCCTTTTGAAGAATAAGTAGCGCTGGTTTGTACTGGAGTGAACTTATTTCGGGACCAGATTGTGGCCAATGAACGAGGGAAATAAGCGCTTACATTTGAAACTGCTGCTTCAAAGTCCAAAAGTGAGTGAGTCCAGCTTTAAATCAATAAACTTGCCTATTCTTACCAGCTTAGAAATGTGTTTGGATTTGGAGGCACTAACAAGCCATTATCTCCTTATCACCACTGAGACGAGTAAAGCAGAGAATGCCAGACTTCCTTCTCCGCACACACTTCCTCCAGCTCATCTGGGGGAATCCTGAGGCGTTCCCAGGCCAGCTCCGTGTCCTGGGTCTTCCTCTGGTCTCTTCCTGGTGGGACATACCCCAAATCACCCCCCCCCCTCCCTCTTCCATTTGCAGAGGTGTCCTTCGAGGTCCCCGACGTCCCGGAGTGTTCTTCTGACCTGTCCTCACCTGCTTCTGGAACGGAGAAACTGAGCAGAACGTTCTCCTCCACCTCCTCCGCCTCCTCCTGCTCCTCCTATCACACGCCGCTCTCAAAGACAAACAGGTAAAACACAATAAAATATATGATTTAACCTCAGAGTTTTGGCGATATGAATGAAAACTGTATCACGATTTTAGTGTTTCATATCAGTGGAGATTGATAATTATTGATTTGTGTTTTTAAAGCTATTCTGAAAATAGAGACCAGGAGAAAAAAAAGCCTGAATTGTAATACTTTTATGTGAAATATAACAAATGAGACAATTTGAGAAACAGTCAAATAAATAAAAATACTCGTCAATGTTGACATAAATGCTTTATACAACAAAATGAGCAAAGTATCAGCTCAAAGCAGATGATGAGAGATGGGTAGGGTCAGCAGGTGTGTGTGTGTGTAGTTAGTTTTATAGGGAAAGACTACTCAGAAGTGATAAGTATGTTTCATTCTGACTGACAGGACAGAAGCAAATGATAACGTTATAAAACAGCAGAGAATGAAAGTAACTGATACATGTCCAAAAGCATTTGTAATCTGTTGAAAGGAGAAACTGCTGCGATGATGTCACACATGACTCTATGTTGTGGAGGTTGAACTCATAGTTTTGAGAACTTTAAGTCTGAGAAATGCACCAAAGACACTGAGAAAAACTGTAACCTCAACTCTAACCGTTGTTCTCAGCTCTGCGTCCCAGGACAGTACGAGCTTCTTCATCCCTAAATCAGGCTCCATCAGTCGCAGCGGAACCTCGTCATGGGCCGGTCCCACCTCAGAGGTTGCTACTCCCCAGAACCAGTCCAGCAGCAGTGGGTGTCCTTCACAGAGTCCCAGTCCTGCCCTGAGCTCCTCCACCTCTACCTCCGCCTCTGCCTCCACCTCCGCCTCCACACCGGGGCCCACGCAACCTTTGCTCCCCAGGACCCAGGCACCAAACTCGGGCCACAACCAGAGCTCTGAGCAGGTGGTGCTGGAGCCCATCCTGGAGGCCGCGCCAAACTCACCTCGAGGATTTGTCAAGATCACATCCCCCTTTAAACGTAAGTGCAGTGTATTTGCTGATAATTAGATAGATAGATAATTAGATAGAGACTTTATTGATCTTTGTAGGAAAATTCAGGTCCTTTGTTCGTCCCACAGCTGGGAATTTCACTTTTGATTAATATTCAAACACATAAACACATCATGGCATACAGCAAACGTACTCTCGTGCTCCTTTCCCTCCTATCTCCTCCGTTCTAACTAATGGGCCAAAATATGTGCTCTACTGGAACTATCCAAAATGGCCGCGAGTGGTCCGGCCCACAAGAAAATTGTGAAAAAACACATCTGCGCATGCGTCAGCCGGCGCAACTCCATTCATGTGAACGAGAGACTTCAAAAATTCACAGCAAGTAAACTAGAGTGGACCAAAAAAATCCACCCCCCTCAGCATTGACACACATGTGGAACGGAGCTTTGGGCCAAGAGCCAACTTTTGGACCATCCTGTAAAGACGTTTTCGAGAGGTAAGAAAATGCTATGTTAGCATTCGCTAATTCTGGCCACTTTTGAGCTGGGACCCGCCCCCACTGATTTAAACATGGGGTAGGAGCTAATGCTAAGATGCTAGTTAGCATTTAGCGAGGTTATTGTGTGATGGCTTTGTGACTATAGATAGAAATACATTTATTTTCTTTAAAAAAGAGGAAGAAAGCTCTTTTGTATCTGGTCATTTTTGTGTATTTGCTTTTTTTTACATTATGGATGTAATTTGCCAAAATGACGTGCGCTGACATGCTGCAATACCACCCCGGGCCGATGGGGGTGGACCCGGAATAAGAATTAGCCAATGCTAACATATAGCATCTTCTTACCTCTCGAAAACGTCTTTACAGGATGGACCAAAAGTTGGTTCTGGGCCCAAAGCTCCGTTCCACATGTGTGTCAATGCTGAGGGGGGTGAATTTTTTTGGACCACTCTAGTTTAGTTGCTGTGAAATAATGAAGTCTCTTGTTTAAATGAATTGGGCTCGTTCAGCTGACGCATGCGCAGATGCGTTTTTTCACATTTTCCAGCCCCCGCGGCCACTTGGAATCACTCCATAAAAGCCCAATGTTTGGCCAATTTCTTTAAACAGCGGAGTTAGGCGTGACTACGTCCGTTAATATTTATAGTCTATGGGCAGGACGCCAAAACAGTTGAAAAACAATTGCATCCTGCACCTTTAAGTCTGACGAATATGAATTGGCTGAAAATAGAGAGATGCTTTTCAACCAAAACACAATTTTAAGCAATTTTTCAAGATGTTTTTTTATCTCCAAGATGTGATCTGGCTGAAGCTAGATGTTTATCACTGGGCTGTGAGGCTTAATGCATACAGCACATGTTATATTTGAAGAGACGATACATTATTCAACCTTTTCTACAGCCCACGAGGGACTTCTCTGTCATATCACTTCTAATATAGACTTGTCTTTTAGCGGAGGATTTGTGGAGATTTTCCTGGATTACATTATAGAACAGGGGCCCCAAAACATGCGTTAACTCTATCTCAAACTTGAATCGAGACGTCGCTGTGAGAACGTCTGGAGATATATTAAAGTCATTCTTTAGCTTATCGTACTTCCTGTCCATGTTTTTAAACCCGTGCATTCGTTTTCCATTATGCAACAGCCTGTGGTCACTCTTGGCTCTTACGCTTTTCCTCTTTCAAAGCGGCGAGCTGAAGAGAGAATCTGAACTCAGTGAAACCAGGAAGCCCACAGGAAACAGGAAGTCACACACCACGGTCCGAAATATTAATCTGAAAGTGGTGTCACCTACGTGTTTTAGTCACACCAAATTCCCTTCATGTTTTTTCAAATAACCTTTTAGAAAACTATAACGTGTATATTACTTCTGTTTGACTAGATGGATGGATAGATAGATAGATAGATAGATAGAAGCCCCGCTGAAGATACATAGATAGATACATACATATATATATATACATACATACATACATACAGTAGATAGATAGATAGATAGATAGATAGATAGATAGATAGATAGATAGATAGATAGATAGATAGATAGATAGATAGATAGATAGATAGATAGATAGATAGATAGATAGATAGATAGATAGATAGATAGATAGATAGATAGATAGATAGATAGATAGATAGATAGATAGATAGATAGATAGATAGATAGATAGATAGATAGATAGATAGATAGATAAGATAGATTAGATAGATAGATAATAGATAGATAGATAGATAGATAGATAGATAGATAGATAGATAGATAGATAGATAGATAGATAGATAGATAGATAGATAGATAGATAGATAGATAGATAGATAGATAGATAGATAGATAGATAGATAGATAGATAGATAGATAGATAGATAGATAGATAGATAGATAGATAGATAGATAGATAGATAGATAGATAGATAGATAGATAGATAGATAGATAGATAGATAGATAGATAGATAGATAGATAGATAGATAGATAGATAGATAGATAGATAGATAGATAGATAGATAGATAGATAGATAGATAGATAGATAGATAGATAGATAGATAGATAGATAGATAGATAGATAGATAGATAGATAGATAGATAGATAGATAGATAGATAGATAGATAGATAGATAGATAGATAGATAGATAGATAGATAGATAGATAGATAGATAGATAGATAGATAGATAGATAGATAGATAGATAGATAGATAGATAGATAGATAGATAGATAGATAGATAGAATATAGTGATAGATAGATAGATAGATAGATAGATAGATAGATAGATAGATAGATAGATAGATAGATAGATAGATAGATAGATAGATAGATTGTCTTCCCCCCGACCCAGAAATGGACTAATAGGGGTTGGAAAATGAATGAATGGTTCAGAGTGAAATGCTGAGTTCTGGATCTACAGCATGTCTGTCCCTCTGGGCATTTTGGATGTCTCTCACATTTGTCCCGCTGGGTTTTTCTTTGAGTAGTTCCTTGCCAATGCAGAGGGACTAAGGACAGTGACGTCCCTAACCCTTTTTTGGACTTTTATGGACATTTATTAACATTTCAGGACACAGACCATCTGCCCCTTATAGACCAAAGGCTCTATAGGATTTCTTATCATTCCATTTCCTTTGTTTGATCAACAGTTCTGTATGAATCAGAATCTGAATTATTTTCATTGCCATTGTAACCTAACCCAAACCATTTGTAAGAGTAAGAGAAGATAAGGGCATAAGTATCATATATCTTTGCATTCCCTCTGTTTGAACTGTTTGATTCTCTAATCTGTGGTTGGCTAACACTTTTTAAAGTTCTTTGAGAAGACTGCTGTTGTTATTAAGGGCTTTGCAAAAATACACTGAATTGAATGAACACAACTTCTGAGCCATTATCATCAATATTCTCAAGTCAGATTCAGATTTGCTAGTTGCAGTAAAACTCCATTCTACAGTGAGCATCAGACATAGAAAGAGTTCAGTTCATCTTTTGTCTCTCTGTCTAAACACGATTTCTATTCCGCAGCCAAACGCTCGTTCGTCCTCAAGCAGAACCATCACAGCGAGCAGCCCACGGTGCAGTTCTCCAAAACCCCGGCGGCCCAGGGACCCGCCCCCCATCCACCCCTGCGCATCAGCCGCACTCAGCCCACGCTGCAGCCTCGCGCTCCTCCAGACCTCCGCAAAGCCCCGCTGAAAAAACCTGGAATAAAGGCCCCAAACTGCCCCCCTCCTCTGCCCCCACCATCACAGGCCATTTGACAAGTCTACTGCTGGATTGCAGTCACCTGACCCAAAAGGGGGCGTGGCATGAGGGCGTCAGACAGGAAGTGTTTCTCTCCCATTGCTTAGACAGGGCGGGGGGAGAAAACAAGCACACAGAAGATTTTCAGGGCTTTATAGGACTCTTATTTGGAGTGAAAGATATTTTCAACACACCGTACTTGTTGCACAGTTTGAACGAGTTCAATATTTTAATCAGTGAGGAGGATTAAGCAGCTGTTACTGTGACAACAGTGGAGTAACTCCAGGATCAAAAGAACCACGTCCAAGAGGAAAGTTCTGATCAATATTAGAAAAAATAGTGTATAAGTCTGACTTTTAACAACATTTGAGCAATAATAGAAAGATACATAATTGATTTGTTAGTATTTTTCAAAAAGTTAGCATTCCTCCGGTGGATTTTTGCCTGATCCACTCTGGTCCCTGTGTTTGTGATTACGATCGGTTGAATTCCATCCGACCAATCAGAGAGTGCGGGAGGCGGGTGTTGTAGTTAGATGTGGGTGACGTCAAGAGTTTGCATCGAACGGGCAGTTTAGTTTAGCAATGGCAACGAATGCGGTAGTAAAGTATTCCAGTCTGGTTCAACCAAGAGATTGAAGCCGGAGCAAGAGGAATGTTAAGGAAATTTAATTGCTGGCAATGATTGTGGCGCTACTCCCCACGGGCTCCGTGAGTGGCAAAGGAGATGGTTAGGCTGAATGCTAACGACTCACTTGGGCGCATTACATTAGTGACGGTAAACTCAGATCCAATCGTTTCAATCTGCAAAAGGAGTTAACTCCTCCCACCTGTAAACGAAGCTCAATGGAGCAAATCCAGACCTTCGTACCTTTGTAATTCTATGGTGTGGTACGACCAGGCTAGTCTGGACCAGTGTAAAACCATGAACACTGTCCTGCAGCAACTTTGGACTTGCTGCCGTTTCCAGTGCAGTCAAAAGTCAAAAAAATATGACCCTTTATTGTCAGTGCGGTGATTTGTTTTGCGGAAAATAAAAAATCAGCTGCTGTCTTTGTGGTAGAGGCTACCCAGATGCTACACAGAGGCTAAACAGATGCTACACAGAGGCTAAACAGATGCTACACAGAGGCTAAACAGATGCTAGACAGGCTAATGAATTCCCTTTGTTTCTTTGAAGCATTTTCCTAAACATTGATACCCCTTAGAAGGAGAGGAGTCTCTATTTTGCTAAAAATGTATTTCTCTTTTAGTTCTCCACTTGATACTCGCAGTCGCCACTGAAAATTAGCATTTTGATTCTTAATGTAGAGATTCACTTCCTGTCTCTCTCTGAGGACACACCACCGTGCCGTCGTCATCAGCTGCCTGCAACCCAGCAATTCACATATTTATTTTCACTGCTACTTCCTGGTGGAGTAAAGCAGTATTGCTTGCAAAATTTTAGGTACAAAAAAGTATTATCTGTAAATAAAACTATTCCAAACCATTCAAAATATCTTTATTGTCCATTTTTAACATCATAAGTAAATACATCTGCAGCATGTGGTTCGCAATTTGCACAATTTTCTGCCGGTGGTCACAAAAAAACATACAGCCACACTTTAGTTTAGCCCTCACTTATTGACAGCTTATTAAGTGCTAATTAGTGTATAAGTTATGGTTAATTAGATTGTTATTGATATTTATCAAGCACTTATTTGTCCTTATTCTACATTTTTCAACATCTATTGACCCTAACCCCAATGTGGGCTAAAGTAGGGGCTAGGTACTAAATAATTAGCTGTTAATTAGTGAGGGCTAATCTAAAGTGTTACCAAACATACATGAGTTTTAAAAAGGTGTCATATATATATATATATATATATATATATATATATATATATATATATATATATATATATATATATATATATAAATGTATCTTCATGAACAGTTGTAGAAAATATAAATGACAAATCTTCTATAAAATCAATACAGGAGTCAGACTTCATTTTCATACAAGGTGCGAAAGGCTATAGGCATTTTAGTGTTGAATAGAAAATAATCATAATGAACCCAAGAATGATCAAAAATACTCCTTTTTTGTATGGTTTGGGGTGAAGACTGAGTTATGAAGTAAGACCTGTTTTAAAGTCAAGTCCCACAGACTGACAGGACATGGTGGGATTGTTCTGTTTGGTATTTAAATCTTTTTAAAACCCATCTCATTCAGTTCAGTTTGGTTTGCTAGTTTTCCCATGAATGTACAGACCAAAAGTTTGGACACACCTCATTAAAAGAGTTGTCCTTATTATCATGATTATGAAAATTGTAGATTCACACTGAAGGCGTCAAAACTATGACTGAACTCATGTGGAATTATGTACGTACTAAAAAAAAAGTATGAACCAAGTGGAAATATGAGTTATATTCTGGTTCTTCAAAGTAGCCCCTTTTGCTCTGATACTGCTTCACTCTTGGCATTCTCTGGATGAGCTTCAAGAGGACCTGAAATGGTCTTCAACAGTCTTGAAGGAGTTCCCATGATGCTTAGCACTTGTTGGCCCCTTCACTCTGTGGTCCAGCCCCAAAACCATCTGGACTGGGTTCAGGTCCTTTGACTGTGGAGGTCATGTGGCCCAGCACCATCACTCTCCTTATTGGTCAAACAGCCCTTACACAGCCTGGTGTGGATCTACAGACAATAGTCATGAGAAGAAACTCATTGAATCAGAAAGGGTGTCCAAACTTTTGGTCAGTACTGTATTCTAGGTCTCAGACACATCTTTGGACCACCGTCACTCAGCCAATCAGCCGAAAGCCTCAGTTAGTGACTCACTGGGCTCTTTCTTACAAGAATGCAAAAGATAACATGTTTTGGAAAAAGATGGAGATGGTCTGATTTATTCTCAACATATATTGTTATCAGGTATATGTTATTATACTCGGACAAACTACAAGTAATATGAAACAAAAAGTGAAAGGTCCCAGCTTTTATATACGACAGTAGCCATTTTGGATTCTACAAATGAGAATTGATTTGAAGAAAAACCGTAATTATTTTGAGTAGTTTCCAGCATGTCAGTCTCAAAGCATTCAAGCAGGTGTCATCCCTCAAAGTTACTTTCTTTGTAGTAACACAGGTTTTTGGTTCCCCGATACCAGACACGGGTAAGTTAGCGATGTCATTTCCTTCACATGGTCCGACGCTTCTGAGGTAAAAGGAAGGATATCGTCGAAATATGTCAAGGTAAAAATATCGCTAACTTACTTGTGTCTGGTGTAGAAGAACCAAATGTCTTTATTATGATACAAGTGAGTTCTGGGGAAGGGCAACAACCCAGACGCAAGATTTCAGTATTGATCCGAGCTACTTGGGGTTTCATTGCATAGATACAGTTACAGTTTGGGCACCCCTCTACATTTTTATGATTCTTTCCACCAAAATCCAGACTCTTTTGGAAGCGTTTAGAAGCTGTTTTTTCTGTAACTATAAGTCTCGCTTGCGTCATCACCGTGTGTGAGTGGAAAATCTGATTTCTGAACATTGTACAGCGATTTGGGTGAACTCGGCCTGTAGAATGCGCTATATTAATAAACATTACTTGCTTACTTAAAGGAGGATGTACAAAATATTGAGTTGATTTTTTCATTTCATACTTCATTGATACTTTATTTCCAAATGTCAGAGTATTAGTCTCCTGTATGTTATATTTAAAGAGCGACTAAACACCTGTGACCAGCCTGACTCCGCCCACATGAACATTTGACCAAGGGACAAGAAGGGGGGCTTAGAGCTGGGCGTGGTCTGGGCTTTGATTGACAGCTCACTAGTCACACAACAAAAAACAGACAGTTGTCATTGCTACTTAAAGCAATAGTTTACACTCCAGAAAGTCTCATTCCTTTGTTTACACACCAAGATCATTATAGAGCTACACACCTGAACCTAAGCCACAGATTTATCTCAGCAGCAGTGGTAATCACTGGCTTATATCACTGGCGCAGACAGACGCACGTCACACATAAAAACTGACGTCACACACACACTAACTGATGTCACACACATACCAACTGACGTCACACACACCAACTGACGTCATACACCATCTGACGTCACACACACCAACTGACGTCACACACACCAACTGACGTCACACACACCATCTGACGTCACACACACCACCTGACGTCACACACACAAACTGACGTCACACACACCAACTGACGTCACACACACCAACTCACGTCACACACACCAACTGACGTTACACACACTAACTGACGTCACACACACCAACTGACAAATTCAAATGTAGTACCACCAAAAAGGCTGAGAGGGCGCCACACAGACGTTTTTAGGCTTAAAAGTGAGATTTTATCTAATTTGCACTGAATGCCAAAAAAATGACCAGGATATGTAGGGAGCACTACAATAAACACATTTATGCAGTTTATGAGTAAAAAAAAGTTGATTTGGTGTTTAGTCGCTCTTTAACTGACATTTTGTATCCAAACAACCAATGATTGATGGAAAGAAAAATCATCAAAATTGAGAGGGGTGCCCACATTTTTGCATATACTGTATGTTAGCCGAGTGTTGCGTATCCTTCAAGGAGAAAGCTGCGGTGATTATAGCGAGGAATCATACTGTGTGAGAGTTTGTGACGACTTTTCACTCTTTCTTCAGACTTTGATTTCGTCCTCGTCTTCTATGTAGCTGTATGAGATTTTCCTCTTGCTGAACGAGTCCAAGTCCGTCTTATGTCCCTTCAAACTGCCGCCGTAGTGACGCGCCAGCACATCCGCGGCGCTCTGGAACCTCTCGCTCTCCATACCCATCCCTCCGCCCCCCTTCGGCCTCTCGGGGGCCCCCATCACCACGTCGGGCATCCTGAAGGCGCGCCCGTCCGCCTCCTCGTCCTCCCAGTGCGGGCTCTTCCCCCCTCCGCAATCCTCACGCAGCAGGGAATCCACGTAGGAGATGGTGGCCGACCCGCAGGCAGAGCCCTCCTCCTCCCAGGCGGGCTCCTCCGTGTGCTCCTCCGCCTGCGCCTCCGTGTGCGCCTCCGCCTGCACGCCGTCGAGGAACCCCAGGACTTCGCTCATGAGGGAAGGTCCCAGGTCGAAGGTGAAGTCCAGGGAGGCCAGCGAGGGCAGGGAGTCGGAGAAGGCCGTGTACTTGTTGGGGTCGGAGGTCAGGTAGACGGGAGCTGCTGAGGCGGAGTCCGGGAGGGAGCCTCGGTGGTGCAGGGCCGAAGCCAGCGGGGAGGGCGGGCAGGGCAGGGAGATGGAGGGCTGCTGGCGTTCGGAGCGGGACAGGCGCGGCAGGGTGACGAAGCCCGAGTCCACACCTGAGTAGACAGAAAGGACAGAGACAAGAAGTTTAATAAATAATAACAATAATATTAAGGCTTTTGTTTTAGTCATTCACTCCACAAACGGTGGTGATAACTATTATAGCCACGATACTATTGTAGCCACAGCTGCCCTGGGGCACACCAACATAAGCGAGGCAACCACTATGTGCCATCAGTCCCTCCCACCAGCACCAACCTGTCAAACACGTACACCAGACTCACTCTAGAACACAACCACAGTTTTGGCACTTTACAGCCGCAGCCGCCCCACTGTGGGACCAGCTTCAGTCCTGGTTCTACAGCGTCAGTCCTGAGTCTAGAGACCCAGTTCTGGTTCATCCGCCTCAGTCCTAGATCTACAGCCTAAGTCCTGGATCTACAGCCTCAGTCCTGGATCTACAGCCTCAGTCCTGGTTCTACAGCCTGAGTGCGGAAACGATGATGGGGGACTAACATGTTATCCTGTCTGTCTGTGGGAGCGGCTCTCTCTCAGAAGTATCAGTTTCTTATTTGTTTCCCTCTGTTGATTTGTTTTTGAACTGTTCCTTGCCGATACAGGAGGGTCTAAGGATTGTGATGATCGGAGACATTTATGGACATTGGTCATCCTGTGTTTGTTATTATTGCGTATTATCGTTTTTTTCTCCTGTTTTTTTTAGTCTCTGAGTTCAAAACAAAGGAAGCGAATTGAGGCGACTGCGTTTGTGATCATTTGGATACCGCTCTATTAACCGTACTTTATGTTTATGTGAACAGCAGAGACCAGGAGATGCCTGAAATACACAGGACTAGGATTGAGTAGAGCTGTTACCAGACCAGAGTTTATGGACTTATTATTATCATCGACTCCTTCAAGTTTTAGCAGCTATAGAACGTTTAATGTCAACAAAAATTGGAAAACAAGTCCCGACATGAAAGCTTAGGTCATGCTAACTCTACGTAATGTTTGCTTCCTTATCACCTCATCATTAAATCATGTTGTGTCCATGAAAACAGTCCGACAAGTTCTGTACACAATCGAGAAACACTTTTACATTCTACATGAAACAGCTTAATGGTTGGATTACAAATATGGCAGTGATTGATTTGTTTATGTCCTATCTTAGTGACTCACATTCGTGCAAAAAGCAGAACGCAACAACGCTCCGACAGATGGACGTGGTTTAGCTCGACTTCATAAAACCACACATAAACGCACACAAAAGCTGCTCTAAATACCTGAAAATATGTGTTAATATGAAAGTCAGATGTTTTTACCCATTAAGTGGTAGATAGACGTGCCAGCCAATGCCCGGGTCTGGCACCAGCCCCAGACTGAAGATTCTCTCACCTATGCCCAGGAGGGGAACCAGCTTCTCTCCTCACAGTTTAAGCATTAAAATCAAGTTAATAACGTCTAAAAATGGCCGCAGGGGGGTTGTGTGCGAGTCGCCCAAACAGTCTGCGTTTGTGTTGTTACCTTTAAGTGATTCATGAGGACATCTGCGGCAAATGTGTTTAGCTTTACAACCGAGAAAGAGAAATATCTTCGACTGGACTGACCTGACAGCTTTGTTTAGCGTCAGTGTAATTCAACACCAGAGCCTCGGGTCCAAGAGCCAATTTTAAGATTAGTGGTTGTTCTTCTGTGAATTCCCAAATGAAAAGAGAGCATTGGATGACATCATGTTCAGACATTTCCACTGTCGGATTGTTATAAATAGGACCTTTATCAGCAACATTTGAACTGGAATCGCTCAAACAACTGACAAGGTCGAAATATCTGCTTTGAAAACAGGATCCGCCGATCAGTTTAGAACCAAAGCAAACGAGTTCAGACTCTAAACTCAAATATAGGTTCTCTACTAACAACAGTATTTCTCTTCATATGTTTTTATCCCTTTGTTTCAGCTTCTTTTGTATGGAAAATTGGAATAACTTTTTGAACTTCTTTGCCCGCGCTATTCTAGTACGTCGTCAAAAATGTTTTAAGTTCTCAACATAACAAGGCAACAAATGTTAAGAAACAAAACAGAAAAAAAACCCAAACACAAATTAATACCAAAAGCATGAACTAATAATAAAAATAAATTTAAAGTAGCAATATGTAATATTTTTATGTCAAGTCATCATTAAAGGGCCCTAATCTGTCAAAAGGCATTGATAAAACATTCGTTTCCAATACTTCTTTAACTGATAACAGTAGTTCAGAGATGTTTGGATTTCAAAATGTGTTTTACAGAGTCTAAACCTTGTTATTGTTTTCATTTCGATGTCCCGCCCTCCACCGTTTTACCAATGAGAGAGTCGGTGATCCGGGCGCCAGAACTCACTGTGTTGAGCTAATCTCACTGGTGAAGTAACAAAAGGTCTCGTTATGATTCTCAAGTCATTAACAAAACAAGGAATAAAACCAGGATTTCTATCTTTGTGAAAAAGGTGTTGGTTATAGATTTGTTGTTGACTAAACTCTTGTCTATTCAGCTGTTATGGTCCCAGCTGGATTCATCTGCATATCTGGCAGCCTGAGTCAGGGAGAGTGGGAGAGGCTGCAGTACCACTTTTGGCCAGATTTTCACATATTGCTCCTTTATGTCCTGGACTTCGATGCACCAACCTCCACAGAATTTCCCCTTCTATCCGGAGCAACATTCATTTTAAAATGGTCCATTTCCTCCTCGACCACGGTCCCTACTTTACCTTTCCGGCTCGGTTCCAACCTCAGACCTGGGTTGAGATCAGACTTTTTAAACTTTCAAGACATATATTTGGAAACAGCTCAGGGACTTTAAAACGCACCTTTCTGCATCGTGTTATTGCCAACAAAAACAAAACGGAAACGGCAATAATGTGAACAGAAACATGTATGAAACATTGTGGGACAAATACAAGTTCTCTTCATCAATGTTAATCAAGATTAATTCCGGTGTCAAGAAACAGAAACACATCCATACAAACACATATGTATAATTATTAATGTATCCACCCCGACCTAAGAGTTTTTGTCTTTTACAAAGTACCCTGTGAAAATGGACAATTACCATATATACTGTTGATACCGGCTTGTATAGCAATGCTTCCAATATTTTGTCCTTCTTTAGTCCTGCTTTTGTCTTGCTTTGGATTGGTCACAGGTCTAGACTTGCTTTAGACCTGCTTTAGACCTGCTTTAGACCTGCTTTAGACAATACAATTTATTTTCTGGATCCACCCCCACGACCCAAAGTGAGATTGCTAGCATGTCCGAGCACATGCTTATGGACCCGCCCCCACTTATTCAAACACAGCTTTCAGATTCACATTCAGATTAATAAAACTCAGTTTGCCATTTGCAGTAAAGCCCCATTGGAATACATGTGTAAAAGTCCCCTGTGTGTCACAGTACGTAAGACAAGTACATGAATAAAAGCTTTCTTACCATATGAGGTTTTGCCGTCCGGTGGCGTGCTCGGGCTGCTGGGGAAGAGCACTCTGGTGGGCGTCCCGTTGCTCAGGTCCCCGTCCAGCCTTGGGAGGGACACGGCGTTCTTGATGATGGGGGACACTGCGGGGGGAGGCGGGGACAGCTCCTTCTCTGGCTCCCGGACTGGAGAGGCCCGGTTGTCCGAGCCTCTCCGAATGTGGCGCAGGGTTCTGGAGAAAAAGGCTCCAATCTTGTTGTCCGGGCTGGAGATGGAGCTGGTCTCGCTGCCGGTCCCGTTGGCCGTCCCGCCGTGGTTACTGAGGAAAGAGGTGTCGCCGAAGACGTCACCGCCGCGGCCCACGTGCATGGTGTGGCGGAAGTCTCCCAGCGGCGGGCTGATCATGTCCGTGCTCAGGTCCCCTTTGAACCTCCGCTTGCTGTGGGAGTGTGTCACCAGACCCTTCAGTCCGGACAACTTTTCCTGGAGATTCATTTTGCTCAAAAATAATCCAACGTTCTAATCCAGATAGTTTAATCCAGATGGTCAGCAGTTTTGACTGACTTCGAGGAGAGGCTGTAGTCAAGATTGTCCTATTTCCCCAAATGTCTTTAGCACTGGTAAACACCTGACAATTTAGCTGGGGACCTCCATTTTTTGGGTGTAGAAATATTTTGATGCAGAGAGGCTGTGGTCAATGTTGTCCTATTCCTCCAAATATCTTCAGCACCGCCACAAACACCTGATAATTTAAAGCTAGGGAATCAGAAATTAGCCAATTCTGTTTTTCCTTCCAAAAGTGTATTCTGAACCCAAAACTTTGAAACAAAAACTGGACATCTACTAATTTCCTTCATTGAATTAGAGAACATTTAAATTCTCGCTAATTTTTACTTGTATGAAAAATCTCAAAGTCACTATTTGAAACCAAGTTCAACAATTTGGTAACTCTACTCTACTCTATATACTATACTATGAAAATCAGGGACCCCAGCTTTACAATCTACCCGTCTGGTGCACGCGCCAAGCTAGCCCGGTCGTGGTTGCGCTCTGTTCTGCATAGCCGGCTGAATTAAACGCACATAAATCGGGGAGAACACTGTGCAGTTGTGTTGTTGGACGCGACCAGGCCTTTCGGAATGTGGTGAGGTCGCCTGGTTTCCCTCGGCTGGCTCTCCGTCCGCATCAGCGCAGAAATAGGTCCCGGCTCCAGCTGCAAGCGCTTGTGCGGTCAGGCGGGGGAAACATCTACGGAGAAACACAAAAAAACAGAACATCTATCTTTAAAGACGGACGAGGATGCGAAAAGGATGACATCGGCAGTTTATTCAGAGGCGCTTGAGTAGAGCTGAGAGAAACCACTGCTATTCTTCTGTGCTGTAAAGTAACCTAGCTGATCCCAGACACGTTTTTTCTTTAAAATTCTACGTTCCAAAAGTCAGCTGGTCTGGAACTGACTACATTTAGACACAGTTTTGTCCCTCCTCTGCACAAGCAAGCCAGACTTTTAGGGGATTCCTGAAGTCAAACTGACCTGCTCTGTCACAGGAGGAGAGCTTTTCACTCTAAATGGTTTCAGCTGGATTTAAAAGTACAAGCTTTCGGTCAATAACGAACAACAGACTGGAGTAAAGGCTGAGGATTTACAGTATGCTCCACATCAAGAGTCTTCCATCTGTTTCTGAAAGAGAGCAAATGAGGACTGCTGTAATGGAGTCACAGAATACATGTAGGTAGTCAGTAACTGTATCTGGAATATTTTACATGTGTTGCTTAAATCAAGTGTTTTTTTTTATCTTAGAGTGACCACATTCTGACAGTGTTAAAACAGTATTCTCCAATGGGACAAAGGAATTTACTCTTTATTTCAAGAGCTGTTGCATTTTTTTCTCATTCCAAGGAAGACATTTCTTGTACCTTTTTAAAAAACAAGATCGTTTTGTTTTGCTCACTGACAAATCTTGTTTTAAGGCAGTTAGAATGTGGTCAAAATAACATACATTTTGACTTATTTTTCTCTACTTTTTGCAGTGTTCTTCATTTGGTGTTTTTCAGAATACAGTTCTATTCAGCGCAGATGAGCACAAACCACAACTATATTTGAAAAGAAATGCCATTATGAGGAGATAACAAAAAATAAATGAAAATGGCACTTTTAGAAATGTTTGTGAGAAACTTTTCCCCGACTTCCTTTCAGGTCGTCATTAAACCCATGAATAGAATCGGTCGTTCACTTGTTTGATGATTTGTATCTAAATCAATGTCCTCCAAACGCATTAAAAGAAAAGTGATGTTCAACCATTTGCCAAGAGGCGAGGTTCTATTCCCAAACAGAAGTTCTGGACCCAGACAAGTTCTGGACCCAGACAGTCTAAGTAAGTAAGTAATCTTATAGTGCCAAACACAGAGCAGAGAGACAAAGCACTTTACAATTGTATTTTGTTTTTTCTTGGGCATTTTTCTCTCACTCCACACAGAGAGGCACATGCCAGAACTATTGTACATGCTTTTAGTGGTAGGGGAAACCGGAGCACCTGGAGGAAACCTATGCAGACACGGAGAGAACAAACTCCACACAGAAAGGGCTAGAGTCGGAATTGAACCAAAATCAAGTAAATAGTACTGATTTATTTTTATCTGTGCATAACTTTTTGAGCTTTGTTGACCACTAAATGATATAAAGTGTGGGCTTTGTCACCAAGGAGTCTGGAAAGTTCTAAACCTCGAACAAAAATCCCCCGCAATGTTTACTTAATAAAGCGTAGTCGATACAGATTTGTGAAGTCTGTGGAAACAAGTTTAGTCCCCACTTTTTCTCCAACCCAGATTTTCATTCAAAGATTATCATGGAGTATTTTGACCATAAATGAGACCTAATAAGTGTATATAAGTCGTATAAAGAAGTTTGATCCCATGTTGTGACTCTACCCATCGTCCATAACGCCAAAGTCTGTCACAGAATTAGCCAACAACTTGCTCGTGTAACATCCTGATCTGTTTTTCTTATAGACTATAGACTGTGAAATATGTAAAGTCTGGAATGGATACTTAAAATGTGCAGATAAGAAAAGAGTGTGTGTAGTAGAGCAGGGAAAAGGCCCGTTCCCAGTGTTGTTCTTTGCCAGCGGAGTAATGGATCTGCAGAGCTTAAATATTTTGATAGCATAAAGCAGCTCTGACAAAGACCCATGTTTCTCTCTCAGGCCTGGACTCTACCATCTGGCTGCTTTAATGAGAGGCTACGTTTCAGGACAGGAGTCTGGGGCAGCCCTTTACCCCCCCCTCCTCCCCACGACCACCAGGGAGCGCTAAACTGTGAGCACTTTAACCCTGGGCTCGTTTTACAGGGCTGGGGGCTGACTCTGTGTGATGCGGCTGTTTGTGTTGGGGATGGATTCATTTGCAAGATATTGGTTCAAATCCAAAAAGCAAAAATAAGTAAATGAGTAAGTAATCTTTATTAAAATAGCGCCTTTCTCAGACCAGAGTCACAAAGCGCTGTACAATTGTGGGCATCCATCTCTAAGGCGACACAGAGAGACCAATTGTTTTTTTGTGGCAGGGGAAACCGGTGCATGCGGAGGAAACCTATGCAGACACGGGGAGAACGTGTAAACTCTATTCAGAAAGGCCCTGTTCCGACCGGGATTCAAACCCAGGACCTGCTTGCTCTCTACCTCCCTCTTCCACTTTCTTCCTCTTTCTACCTCTCTCTACCACCCTCTACCTCCCTCTACCTCCCTCTACCTCCCTCTACCACCCTCTACCACCCTCTACCTCTCTCTGCCTCCCTCTACCTCCCTCTACCTCCCTCTACCTCCCTCTACCTCCCTCTACCTCTATCTGCCTCTCTCTGCCTCCCTCTACCTCCCTCTACCTCCCTCTACCTCCCTCTACCTCCCTCTACCTCCCTCTACCTCCCTCTACCACCCTCTACCACCCTCTACCTCTATCTGCCTCTCTCTGCCTCCCTCTACCTCCCTCTACCTCCCTCTACCTCCCTCTACCTCCCTCTACCTCCCTCTACCACCCTCTACCACCCTCTACCTCTATCTGCCTCTCTCTGCCTCCCTCTGCCTCCCTCTACCTCCCTCTACCTCCCTCTACCACCCTCTACCACCCTCTACCACCCTCTGCCTCTCTCTGCCTCTCTCTGCCTCCCTCTGCCTCCCTCTGCCTCTCTGTACCTCTCTCTGCCTCTCTCTGCCTCTCTCTGCCTCTCTCTGCCTCTCTCTGCCTCTCTCTGCCTCTCTCTGCCTCTCTCTGCCTCTCTCTGCCTCTCTCTGCCTCTCTCTGCCTCTCTCTGCCTCTCTCTGCCTCTCTCTGCCTCTCTCTGCCTCTCTCTGCCTCTCTCTACCTCTCTCTACCTCTCTCTGCCTCTCTCTGCCTCTCTCTACCTCTCTCTGCCTCCCTCTACCTCTCTCTGCCTCTCTCTGCCTCCCTCTACCTCCCTCTGCCTCCCTCTGCCTCTCTCTGCCTCTCTCTGCCTCTCTCTGCCTCTCTCTGCCTCTCTCTGCCTCTCTCTGCCTCCCTCTACCTCTCTCTACCTCTCTCTGCCTCTCTCTGCCTCCCTCTACCTCTCTCTACCTGTCTATGCCTCCCTCTACCTCTCTCTGCCTCCCTCTACCTCTCTCTACCTCTCTCTGCCTCTCTCTGCCTCCCTCTATCTCTCTCTACCTCTCTATGCCTCCCTCTACCCGCCTCCCTCTACCTCTCTCTGCCTCTCTCTACCTCTCTCTACCTCTCAATGCCTCCCTCTACCTCTCTCTACCTCTCTCTACCTCTCTCTGCCTCTCTCTGCCTCTCTCTGGCTCTCTCTGCCTCCCTCTACCTCTCTCTACTCTCTCTACCTCTCTATGCCTCCCTCTACTCTCTCTACCTCTCTATGCCTCCCTCTACCTCCCTCTACTCTCTCTACCTCTCTATGCCTCCCTCTACTCTCTCTACCTCTCTCTACCTCTCTCTACCTCTCTCTGCCTCCCTCTAGTCTCTACCTCTCTCTACTCTCTACCTCTCTACCTCTCTCTACCTCTGTAAAATGTGGGCGTCCAAAAAAGCGCTACATAAAACTGATGCATTATTAGTATTATTATTGTTATTTGTTTTTAAATGTTTCTATTCTGCCTTTGTCCCCAGCGTCTGAACATGAGGCACTAATTTGTTTAAAACATTTGTCTTGTATCATGTTTAAACAAGAATCAGCTTCTGGTGGACTCACTGCAGGTCCTTCATTACTGCCTCCTGCTCTTTAATCCTCTGTGAGTCTCTGACCACAGACAGACCCGCCCCCTCTGTACCCCTCTGCCTCCCTCGGTACCCCTCTGCCCCCCTCTGTACCCCTCTGCCCCCCTCTGTACCCCTCTGCCTCCCTCTGCACCCCTCTGCCCCCTCTGTACCCCTCTTCCCTTCCTCTGCTCCCCTCTACCTCCCTCCGCCTCTCTCTACATCCCTCTTCCCTTCTTCTGCCTCCTCTTTCTGCCTCTCTACCTTCCTCTACCTCCCTCTGCCTCTCTCTCTTCCTCAGCCCCTCTCTACCTCCCTCTACCCCTCTCTTCCTCCCTCTCTACCTCCCTCTGCCCCCTCTGTACCTCTCTGCCCCCTCTACACCCCTCTGCCCCCCTCTTTACCCCTCTGCCTAGCTTCCTCTACCCCTTTACCTCCCTCTGCCCTCTCTTCCTCCTTCTACCTACCTCTCCCCCTCTCTACACCCCTCTTCCCTTCCTCTGCCTCCTCGTTCTGCCCCTCTACCTCTCCCTGCTCCCCTCTGCCTCCCTCTGCTCTTCAGTGCCTTCCTCTACTCTCTACCTGCCTCAGCCTCTCTCTGCCCCTCTCATACCTCCTTCTCTGCCTCCCTCTGACCACCTCTAGCTTCCTCTGCCCTCTCTTCCTCCCTCACTACCTCCCTCTGAACCCCAAAAACCAGAGCTCATAAAGTCTCCACATGTGCTGCCTAACGAGCCGCCCTCCTCTGTGCACTGCTCTACGTCAAACTGAACTGACAAATATCTATATATCTTTATCCTAAAAGATTAAGAGGCCCTTTAATTCATGGCGAAATCCCAAAGTTACAGACAGAAGGAATGGGGAGCACACAGCACACGATGAAACAAAATAAAATCTATCATAAAAAGAAACTGTATAAAAATCTCTCTTTAGCAAAATAAGGAAAGACGTCTAAAATCTCCAACTTTATCTGGATGAAGAAGCACGACTTATGAACAAAATCTCTAAAAGCAGAAAAACACGATTCCATTCCTCACTGATTGTTTCACGACATGTAAAAACTGTAGAGGAGACAAAACATACCTCGGATTATAGGATCACCTTTAATCTCCTGCGTTTGTCTCTTGGTTGGAGGCTTTCAAACATCCAGCCTGGAGTCACTGCAGGAGGTCCAGAGGCTGAAAACACAGATATGAAAAGGTTATTAAGGACCAAAGAAGTTTTAAATGAGATTAGCAGCGAGAGGAATTAAGCATTTTGTTTGATTAAAGTATGTTTATGAGCGTTTCATTGAGTGAAGTAGTCGCTTCTGGTGTTAAAAAGCAGCTTTATATAAGAAATCGAATCCAGGAAGAGTTTTTTTTAAACACAACGTCACCAGATTTCTTCCAAGTCCCGGTGATCCAAGATGGCGGCCTATTCAAATGAATGGCTTGTGCTCAGTAATGAATGGGACTTCACAGGGACGGAGAGATTAGCGGAACTCAACCATATTTGGGCATCGTCTGGTCCTCCCAGCTCATAGCAGTGGATGAGCTCCCATGATGCTTTGCGCCAAATACGCATGTGTGGCTCTCAGGCACGTGCACAGAGGGGCTCGGCCGCGCTCTGACCAATCAGAGCTGCTGATCAGAGCAGAGCTAGAGCAGAGCCAGAGTGGGAAGGAAAGGAGCAGAGTTTGTGGCAGTAAAGTGTGGATTTAAAGAAAACCGAAGGATTTAAGAAGAATGTGTGTGCGTGCGTGCGTGCGTGCGTGCGTGTGTGTGTGTGACAGCAGCATCCGTCATAACAGAAGTCCCCACACCGCTGTATACATCTCAGGGAGGATTGGAAAGACACAGATTCTATTGTTCCTTCTCAAATCTCTTCCTGAAGTCTGTTTGAATCTGTACAAAGTCCGGAAAACACCAGTTGGGAATCACCAAGAGCGTTGTTTGAAAGTCTGTGACGACAAACTACTTTTTCTACTGTTCTGCACAGAAACCAAAACAATAGTGAGAGCTAGGTTTTATGTTACGAAAACATTTTGAACAATATAAACTATTGGAACGACCAGGAAGGACTTGATGTTGAATTTGTATTTCAACATAGAGACAGATGTAGATATATGGTTAGATACATATATAGATACATACATAGATAGATATAGATAGTTGGAGAGTTACACATTTGCTAAACATTCCTCTTGTTTAGGCTTCAATATCTTGATAGAACCAGACCAGATTACTTTACTATCGTATTCTTCGACATTGCCAAACTACAACCTGCCCGTTCGACGCAAACTGTTGACGTCACCGACACCTAACTACAACACCCGCCTCCCTCGCTCTCTGATTGGTCGGATGGAATTCAACCGATGTAATTGCAGACACTGGGACTAGACCCAGACGCTACATGCAGGAGATGATAATTGACCGGAGTGTACGGATGGATAAGACCGGGCTAGTTCTTTCCTAAAATTTGGGAAAATCCTCCTATGTACCTTTAATGCTAGCATAACATGATAGCAAAAGTTAATGACATGTCTTATCCATGAAAAATCCCGCTCTCCCACAGAATCAACGCCTTTCTCTAACTGAACAAAGTAAAGTTAACTCCAGAAACACAAAGATAGTAACATTTCCGTGTCCATGTCTCAGCTCGATTATAACTCCATTTGTTCAACAGCTCTCAGCAGAAACTCTTACGGCACAAAAGCCCTGTTGCCTTTGGCTCTGAACTGTTGACTTTCCTCGACGTTAAATCAATGATAGACTTCGCTCTTTAGCAACTCTTTCTCCTGGTGTCCTTCACAGACTGACCCACGGACCAGGTGAACAAACACACCAGATATGGCCACATAGTCTGGCCTCAGCCTCGGACTTTCAGTTACAGCCCAGTGGTCTCTGAGCAGGGCCAAGCTCAACACTCACACATACATGCAGACACACACGCAGACACACACGCAGACGCACACACATGCCTACGCACACACACACACGCAGACGCACACAAGCACACATGCATATGCACGCACGCAGAAGCACACAGGCACACATGCATATGCACACACGCACACAAACACACACAGACGCACACATGCATACGCACACACGCTCACAGACACACACACACACACAGACGCACACACACACACACAGACGCACACGCACACACACAGACGCTCACACATGCATACGCACACACACACACCACACACACACACACACACGCACACACACACACACACACACACACAGACGCTCACACATGCATACGCACACACACACACACACATTTGCACGCAGACGCGCACCACGCACACACGCACACACACACACACACACACACAGACGCACACACACACACACAGACGCACACACACACACACACTCATACCTTGACTCATTGCTGTTTTTAGATTAGATGATATTATAGACTGAGTATTTTCTCGCTGTAGATGTAGGGTTATAGAATAAGTTTAATTGCTCATACAGCCAAGAATATTTGGGAACACTTTAGATTAACTAACTACCTACCAGCTAATTAAGTGCTAATTAGTGTGCCCTAACCCTAACTGTAATTCAATTATTGTATGCTTGTGTGTTTTTGTCTGCATTTTTGTTATCTGTTTTTGTGTTATATGAACTCCTTATGTGTCTAAAGTAAAGACTAAATGTTTAATCCTAGTTGGGAAAGCGTCAGTTAATTAAATATTGACAAAGACCATGTAAAATAAGGACTAATAAGTGCTTAATAAATTCCAATTAAGAGCTAATTGACCATAAATTATAAAAAAAATTGTGAATTAGTGAGGGCTAAACATAAGAGTAACCAAATATTTCATTGGTTTTACAGTAGGCCTGGAAGATACACCTAACTACTAATACTTCACCTCACCTTGGGTTCAAAAGTTAAAATCCTGCTGCATTTCCTCGTAGGGATTCCAAAAATGGTTTAGAGCTAATCATTCACTGATGACTTGAGAGTTCCAGGATGGAGACCTCCTGCTGTGGCTGGGTTTATTTATATAGCGCATTTTACAGACAAAATCCCGACCAACACCATCCACTCACTCGCTCATTACATTCAGACCTATTGTGCATGTTTTTAGTGGTAGGTGTAACCGGAGCACCCGGAGGAAACCTACACAGGCACAGGGATAACATGTAAACTACTGTACACACAGAAAGGCCCTGTTCCGACTGGGATTCGAACCCAGGACCTTGTTGTTGAGAACCGATCCCTGCTCCTGGGTCAAATGCTTTCCTCAAACTTAACTTTTTGCTACTTTCTATTTGAAGACAACTCGAAGTTACAAATAACCTTAACATGAATCAAGCCAATTCACTTAATTTGCTTCTTCTTTTTTTAATATAGAGTCCTAAATTACAACAGCAGTTATCTCGGGAGGACTTTACAAAATTGCCAATTCACCAACACAGATCAGAGAATCCAACAGATCAAACACAGAAAATGCAATGATAAAAAACACACACAGCCATTGGTCCATAAAAGTAGATCGAGGACTGAGGCTGTAGATCCAGGACTGAGGCTGTAGATCCAGGACTGAGACTGTAGATCCAGGACTGAGGCTGTAGATCCAGGACTGAGGCTGTAGATCCAGGACTGAGGCTGTAGATCCAGGACTGAGGCTGTAGACCCAGGACTGAGGCTGTAGATCCAGGACTGAGGCTGTAGATCCAGGACTGAGACTGTAGATCCAGGACTGAGGCCATCGTGGTAAGTTAGAAGAAATCAAATAACTTTTTCTGCCTCTTGTCCATGATTCTTAAACTCAACGGGACTTTCCTGGTTAAACAAAGCTTGAATAAAAACAAAAACGAATGATTCTCAGCGGAAATAAAAAGTCATGTGTTGAAAACAGTCAAATCAAGTCAAACCTCGAGAGTCAAACGCAGCAGATTTGAGACAGAAATGCATTTTTCCACCGAGCGCTGGCCTGGTGTTTGTGTTTGTGCTGCTTTGTCCTGGCTCTGCATCAGTTCAAAGCTGGGCCGGGTCCTGTGGTCTGTCCCGGTCATTAAGACGGGCGGGGGGAGGTAATGAGATATAAGTGGAGGCAATTAGGTCTGGGTTCTATTGGACCAGGCTCTGCTTTGGCTAAACTTTAATATTAAGAACATGCAATAAAGCAGCTTCAATCTGTTGGTACTGGCATCAGATAAGTCGCTATAATAACAGCCCAGAAGGTTCTATAGGACAGGTATTTTGCAGGTATTTTTTTTATAAAGTAATCCATCTTATTTCAAGAGTTTAAGTACGTGAGTAAGTAGTTGTTTTTTATACAGCGCCTTTCACAGACCAGTTGTTGTGGGCATTTGTCTCTCCCCCACACAGAGATGGGAGCGAGGTCGCCGAACAGAAGGTGCATGCCAGACCTATTGTACATATTTTTAGTGGTAAGGGGAAACCGGAGCACCTGGAGGAAACTGGAGCACACATGGGGAGAACATGTAAACTCCACTCAGAAAGGCACTGTTCCGACCGGGATTGGAACCAGCCGAACATAACATCCATTGATTTGTTGTAGGCATTTATCACCAACCACTCCCTCCCTTCTTACATTCAGATCTATTATATATGTTTTAGTGTGAGGAGAAATCTGAGCACCAGGAGGAAAGCAACACAGGCACGAGGAGAACATGCAAACACCTCTCAGAAAGGCCTAAAATTGTCTTGCTTGCCACATGCAAGCAAGACAATTTTCCTCAGCCTCAGTCCTTGGAGAGCATGAGGACTAGCAAGATGGCGCCGTGTCAGGGCGCCGCAGTGAACGCTCTGGTGCGCACAATCTGTGTTTTGTTGTTTTTCGTCTGGGATTCACTTGCCACAGTGAAATATGATCGGCAGACACTTCTACACAGTAGGGATCACGCGGGTGACGGGTCACTCGTTTTACCTGAACTGAGGTGCATGAACTTCCTCGAGTGTCCCACTCGAGAGGCTGGTGGAGCACGGCAGGCGGGCCGCAGCGGAGGCCGCCAACAGAGCGAGGGGACTGGGCGTCTCCGGCGTTCTCTCCGCGGTGTGGAGCTGGGCACCTCGAGTCGGCGAAGGAGGCGCAGACACCGGGTAAGGCGAGGCGGTCTGCTCGTTCGGAGCCGCTCCTCCAGGACCCCTTTGCCCTCCATCTACCTGGCCAACGTCCAGTCTCTGCCCAACAAGACGGACGAGC